ATTTTTATTTCTCCTGGGCAAAACCCTGGGGGTAGAACTGCTGGTCACAGGTGGGTGTATGTTTGTCTTTATAAGAAACCGTGTTTTCCAAAGTGAGGCACCATTTTACACTCACACCAGCAGTGAATGAAGCTTCTAGTTGTTCCACATGCTCATCAACACTTGGGATTGTCTGTTTTTTAAAATTTTTCCAGTGGCTCCTATGGCTCTTAATTTGCATTTCCTAGATGGCTGGTGATGGTGAGCATCTTTTCTTTCTCCTTTTTTTTTTTTTTTTTTTTGGGGCAGATCAGCCCTGAGCTAACTAACAACCACGCCAATCCTCCTCTTTTTGCTGAGGAAGACTGGCCCTGGGCTAACATCCGTGCCCATCTTCCTCCACTTTATATGGGATGCTGCCACAGCATGGCTTGACAAGCGGTGCATCGGTGTGCGCCTGGGATCCGAACCCGGGCCTCCAGCAGTGGAGCGCGTGCACTTAACCACTATACCACGGGGCCGACCCCTGTGAGCATCTTTTCCTGTGTATATTGACCATTCTTCTATTTTCTCTTGTGAAGTGTCTGTTCTGGTCTTTTGCCCACTTTTAATACTGCATTTTTAAAATTATGATGATTAAGTTGAAGGAGTTCTTTTATATTCTGGATACCTGTCCTTTATCACAAATATGTACTGCAAATATTTTCTCCCAGCCTGTGGCCAGGCCTTTTACTTGTATCTCCCGTGTCTTTTGAAGAGCAGGTGTTCTCAGCTTTGATGAAGCCGTTTTTCAAGTCTTTCTTTTACGGCTTATGCTTTGTGTGCTGTGTAAGAAATCTTGATATACGATCATCTGTTTGTTTTCGGTTGCTTTCCGTTTTTCGGTGTCGCTTTTTTCTTTTTTATGTACTTCCTTTTGAATTAGTAAAAAGAATTATATGGTTCCAAAGTCAAACCGATAAAGCAAGGTATATCTGGAGAGGGCCCACTTCTGTCCCTGTCTCCTTAACATCAACCACTTCAGTTTTTTATTAATCCCTCCTTTCTTTCTCCTTGGAAATTATATATCTCCCTCCCCATTTCGTTACCCAAAAAATAATGCACTATATATATCTCTATCTTCTTGTTTTTTTAAACAATGTATCCTGGAGAGAATACCCCATAGTAGTATATGGAGATTTTCCTCTTTTCTCTTTTCTCTCTCTCTTTTCTTTTCCTTCCTTCCCCTCACCCCCTTTATTTTTGGTAGCTGCAGAGTGGCTATATGGATGGACATTTGGGTTATTTCTAGCCTTTTCTGCTGCATTGAACAGCCTTGTGCCTACGTCATTGGATATTTTTGCTGGTCTATCTTTGGGGTGGATTTCTAGAAATATTATCGCTGGGTCAAAGGGTCCCACATCTGTAACTCGGCTAGATATCACCAAATCCCCCCTCAGGGCAGGCGCATGGGAAGGCCCATCTCCCCTAGACTCGCCATAGCTCTTGGTTTCTGCCAGCCTGGTAGACGGGCCGGACTGTCTTGGACGTGCCCCAGGATTTTGCAGCCCCATGAGAAACCATATGGTTCACTGGTCACGCGCACAGAAGTCCCTTTGCGCCTTTGGTCCACAAATTCCGGCTGTGCCCTTCCTGGCTGTGCCCCCAGGTGAAGCACAGAGGCAGCCTGGGCACGTGTGTCTATGCATATATGCACGTGTGCATGCGTGTGCCTGTGTGTATATAGACATGTGTACGCATACACGTATGTATACGTGTACCTGTGTACACACACCCACCTACATTTCTAAGGAAGAGGATGTGGAGATCCTCACAACTAGATCTTTGCACACATCAGGATAAACTCCTCAAAGCAGATTCACTAGCTCTAATCAGACTCATACTTTTAAGGCTCAGATGATTCCCCCGCCCTGCCCTCCGAAGCCCGGCGCCGGTCCCCCCCCTCCCCACGGTGCGGGGCAGCGGATAAGTAGAGAAGGGGCGTCTTCAAGGGGTCCCTAAGCTGGGCGTGTGGGAGGCCCCGTCCCCCTCCTGCAGAGAATCGGGACAAAGCCCACCCCCTTGGCCGCTGTGAGGACACACATCACAATGGCCATTCCATCTGAGCTGGGCCCAGCAGGAGGCGCGGGGGAGGCCTGCGCTGCTGTCAGAATGGGCCCGCCCCCCAACCCGAGACAAGCGCTTGGCTGCTCGGAGCTTGGAACCCGAGGCCGCCCGGATACAGTTGCCGGAACAAAGGACCTCCAGTGTACCAAGATGGAACCGTCTGCAGGGTGAGGGTCCCCCATTCAGGTGACAAGGTGACTGTGTGGCCCTCAGGAAGCAGGCGAGGAGCCTATGGGTTGCCTTGCTGAACTGGGGCTCATTCCAGTCCCCAGCCCCCTCCCCAAGTCCTGCTGTCCCCACCAACCCGGGGACCATGTGCCCCAGTGGGGACGAAATGGGGCCTCCCACATCCTGTGCCCTCTCTTAAAGTGTCCCAAGGAAGTCACAGGACAAGACTAATGACTCCTCCGTGTCAGGTATGGCCTGCCTCCCTCTCCCCCAGAGACAACCTAGGCTGTTGGAGGTGGGTGGGGTGGGTGGGGCTCCTGGCCGTGCTCGTGTGATCGTGGGCAAGCTGCCGAATCTCTTGGGATCTGTTTTCTCGTCTGGAAAATGGTTGAGAGGATGAAAAGAGATGACTGTGTAGGGCCAGGCAGTTGCTGACTCAGCGTGAGAGCAGAATGACGCTCCACCTGGCAGCCCGGGGCCAGGTACTTAATTTCTGACCTTCGGTTTCTTCACCTGTAAAATGGGTCCAAAAACCAGCCCTGGGCAGGGCTGCTGGGGGCGCTGGAAGGACAGGAAACCTCTTCCTGTCCCACGGAGTCTAGACAGTGTGGTGAGAAGTGGGGAGTGGCTCCCTGCTCTCTGCTGGCCCCAACTCTGGGAGGAGGCCCTGGTTGGGGTGACCCCAGGTGCCCCCCTCAAGCCTCAAGCTGGCTTTCCCAGGAGGAGCAGGTCCCCATGCACATCACTCATGTGGTTCCCAATAGAAACACAGGGGATCCCCATCCATCACTCACCCCGTCATTGACATTATGGGGTTCCCGTGCGCTCCTCGCCCAGACCACACTCTGGGTGTCCAGGATCTCAGAATTCCTTGTCCAAAGCGCCTTACGCCTGCTTCCAGGGCTTCCGCGGACTCTTCTTGAGGCCCAGGGGCTGACTCCTTGAGGCGGGGGACAGAGCTGGGTGTCCACACACTGTGGGAGGCCCCTCGCGGGTTATGAGGGAGCCAGGTTGGGAAGAAGGGAGGCAGGCCTGGGGTCCGAACGCCCGCCCCTTTTGGAGCCTCCTGACCAGAGGCAGGGGCGTAACGTGCAGCAACACGTGCTCTGGAGGCAGGCGTGCTCAAGTTCCATCCTTGACTCTGATACTCACGTGCTGGGTGACCTGGAGCAAGTCACTTAACCTCTCTGAGCCCAGGCTCCACTTCTGCACGACTGGAATAACGCCACACAGCTGCCTCTTTGGTGCCTTGGCAAGAGCACAGGGACGTATGTAAAGGGTTGAGCACAGAGCTTGGCATGTAATGAATGCTGGATATTAAAAAAAGGGGATGAGGGGGCCCTGTGCTACTTCTGCCTCTGCAACTTTCCAGCACTGCCTCCAGGAAGATCTTACATCCGAGGACACGAGGGCACAACTGCAGTCAGAGATGCCTGGGCTCAAACCTCAGCTCCTCCATCTACTAGCTATACAACCACCGGCAGCTTGACTCACGGCTCTGGGCCTTGGCTTTTTCTCCTGTAAAATGGGTTCCTCCCTCTGGCTGTCCTCGCTCTCAGCTCAGCGCTGAAAACTCACGGAAGCCTTCAGATCTGAGGGTGTCTTCCTTCCTCTCTCCCAAAGAGCCTCCGCTGCCTCCTCCTTATCCACCTTCTCCTCGTCCTCGGCCCTGTCATCAGCCTCCAGGAACTCAGGCTCCTCCCCCAGTGTACGTCAGAGGCCCCCATGTGGTGCACACAGGTCAGTACTCCTGCCTGCCCCCTCTCCCGGCTTCTCTGTGTCACACTCAGGACTGCCCCGGCCACTCGCCAAGACTGCCCACTCAGCACCTTCTCCGGGAAGCCCTCCTCCCCTGACCGCCACAGCTGGCTGGTGGCCACATTGCCCATGGCCATGAGCACTTGTCTCCATGTGAGATCATTGGTGGAGGGGGCTGGACACAGTAGGTGCCCAGGGAATGTTGATGGAGTGAAATCCTGTCCCCTACTGGGCAAATGCTCCACCCCCCACCCCCAACCACAGAGGACGGGAATGCAGACCTGGCCCCTGGGGTGGGGGCCTGGGCCTGGGCTTTGGGATTTTTTTTTTTTTTTTTTTTTTTTTTTTTTTTTGTGAGGGAGGTCAGCCCTGAGCCAACATCCGTGCTAATCCTTCTCTTTTTGCTGAGGAAGACCGGCTCTGAGCTAACATCTATTGCCAATCCTCCTCCTCTTTTTCTTCCGCAAAGCCCCAGTAGATAGTTGTATGTCATAGTTGCACATCCTTCTAGTTGCTGTATGTGGGACGCGGCCTCAGCATGGCCGGAGAAGCGGTGTGTCAGTGCGCGCCCGGGATCCGAACCCGGGCCCCCAGCAGCGGAGCGCACGCACTTAACCGCTAAGCCACGGGGCCGGCCTGTCAGAGGTTTTTAAGTGCTGGGATTAGAAACTGACTCTGGCTGACTTGAACAAACCCAAAAGGGACTGTATGGGTAGGAACTCACTGAGCTGAAGGGACCCAGTTTAAACGCAGAGAGCTCCCAGATTCCCTGGGCACCTTGGCCAGAGGAGGCAGAGCGTCTTGACTGAGGGGGCGCTGAGCCCTGAAGGCTGCTGGGGGGAAATGGGACTGCACGGGAAACTGGGGCCCATCTGGACAGCCTGGGGTGCCCAGGGGAGAAGGGGAACCTGAAAGAGGGTCCAGCCCAGGGGTGGGCACTGGGGAGGGAAGGAGGGGGGCGGGGCTGACCTGCCCCTCCCCTGCCCCCAGCACTGTTCACCAGCCTGCCCGAGATGGGGTCTGCCATGCCCATCCGGTCCACGTGTCCCTACTGCGGGAACTACATCGTCACGACGACCACCCCGGTCGCGGGGATCCTCACCTGGCTGCTGTGCGCCGGCCTCTTCCTGTGCGGGTGAGCGGCGCGCCCGCGGCCTCCGCGGGGCCCGAGCATCCGCGGGGAGGGGCCTGTTGGTTTGGGGGAGCTGGAGGGCGCGGAGGGGCGGGGTTTCTAGCACACCCGGGGGACGGGCAGCGCAGGACCGAGGACAGAGGGGCCCCGGGCTGGCTCCGCCCCCAGCTAGTCCGGCACAACCTGGGCGAGAACCTCAGGCTGGCCCCGCGGGGTCGCCGCCCCACGACCCCTGGACCCCCAACAACAGCCCTCCCCGCGTCCCGGGCCCCCGCCCACGGCCCGCTGCTCCCGAGGCTGCAGGTGTATCCTGGGCTGCTGCTTGATCCCCTTCTGCGTGGACCGCCTGATGGACGTGAAGCACACGTGCCCCGTGTGCCAGCGCGAGCTCTTCCGCTACCAGCGCCTGTGAACCCCTGCGAAATAAATGTCGACTAAGAGACCTTCTCCTGCCCGCGTCTGTCCTGCTGGGGTGCCCCCGGCGCCGGGAGTGGTGAAGGCACTGAGGGGGTGCCCCCCACCCTTCCCTCTGCCCTCCTGTCACAATGCAGGTCAGGGTGGCGCTTAGACGGGCCCTGGCACACAGTGGGTGCGCAGTCAGCATCGGGTGAACGAGTGCTGGCAGGCGTGGGCGCCCTCCCTTCTCCGGCTCCCTCCTCTTCTGACCCCTTAGAAACCACAATCCACTGATCAGCTCCCATCTTTCCCAGCCCCTTCCTTCCCATCAGCTCAAGCTTCTGCATCTTGATGAAACCGGCTCCTGCAACTCCAGTGGGGGCAACCCTGTGCTTCTGGCGTTATCCGTACCTCTCCTGCCACTCGGTCCTCCAACACATCCAGGTTCACACCTGGCCCCCGGCCTGCCTGGTTGACCAATGGCCTCCCGTTGCTACATCCAACATCCACCTGCCTGGATTCTCTGCAGCCCCTGCCCCTCACACTGTGGTCTTCCCTGCACTGCCCTGTTACCCAGTGCACCCTCTCTGCACGCCCTCAGACTGATGCCCCCAGGGTCCCGTCTTGGGCCTCTTCTCACATGACTCCTGAGGCTTCTGTTCTCACCTCCGGCATCCCACAGCCCTCCCTTGGATGCCCCCGGGGCCCCACAAACCCCACAGGTCTCTAAGTGATGCCTCTTCTCACCTCCTCGCGTGACCCCATTGGCTGGGGATGGCATGGCCCCTCCCCACACCTCCTCTTATTCTAGAGCCCTCCAGTCCTGCAGCACGACCTCAATCCTGGCCCATTTGCCCCGTGACGATTTCTTCCTCTCATTATCCCACGTGGTCTTCCCTGAAGACCTTCCTTGAAGAAAGCCGCCACCCCCGAGGGGTCTCCCTGCTCTGGGTCTTGCCTGCTTCTTCCCGTCTTCACCAGCAGCCAGTGGCTGGCACAGAAAGGCTCAATTAACACGGGCAAGAATTAGTAACTTCGGGTCTGATGAGGCCAGACACCTGCCTAGAACTCGCCACCCTCAGGACTGAGTCCAGACTTTTAACCTGGGGTCATTTGAGGCCGTCTGTGAGCTGGCTGCAGCCAGCTGGGCAAGAGCTGCCCATCACCCATGCGTCCAGACTTCCTCTTGCCTCTTCTGGAATGCCCTCCAGCCCCTCCTCTCTTCGCTTACTCCTTCCAGGCCCAGCCGGCACAGTGTCACCACTCATTCTCAGGTCTCTGTCACTCTCCTCAGGCCTTGGTGCCCCTAGGGCCTGGCGGGGACGGGTGGGTTTATGGGAGCTGGGAATCCTCCCAAATCTCTGTCCTTGCCCCCCAGCAAGAGATTGTTTTGTTTTGTTTTGTTTTGTTTTTGCTGAGGAAGACTGGCCCTGGGCTAACATCCATGCCCATCTTCCTCCACTTTATGTGGGACGCCGCCACAGCATGGCCTGACAAGCGGTGCGTCGGTGCGGCGCGCCTGGGATCTGAACCCGGGCCGCCAGCAGCAGAGGGCACGCACTTAACCGCTACGCCATGGGGCCGTCCCCCGCCCCCCGCCCCCTGCCCTCCCAGAAGAGGTTTAATCCTTATGATTCCTTCACGCTGCAGCACAGCGGCTTTCCTGGACTGCAGAGGCTGCTGGGCAAGGAACCCGGCAAATGCTAGGGAGGTTAAAAGGCCCTGAGCTGGTCATGAACGAGGTCCCTTCTGGTTAAGCGGGGTCTGCCTGGGGACGAGAGCAGGAGGAGGGATGGGCCAGAGGGAAACCCAGGGGCACAACTAAGGGATTTTTTATTTTGCAAAATATGAAAAATATTATTCACCCATCTTTTCAATTAGATTTCCTAGAGGAGGGAAAAGGGAAGTGAGAGGGGAATTAGGGGGCAGAGGAGAAAGCATAACAGGAAGACACGTGAAGTACATTTTACTCACTATAACATGGCCAGCGGTTCTGTAATGCTCACCAGCACCCCGGGGGGGCAGAGGTCCCCCATCCTACAGATGCGGAAGCTGAGGCCGGAGCGATGGCTTGTGCAGGGAAGGGGTGTGTGCGTGTACGTGTGCGTGTGTGTGTGTGTGTGTGTGTCAGGTGAGAGCCACTCTGCCTGTGGCCTGCTGTGACAGCGCTGGCAGGTCCTCATGTCATGCCAGCCAGGAGGAGGGACGAGCTCAGAGGTCTCCAGACCTGAATGTCAGCCCCTCGAAGGTGTCCCAGCAGCTGCCCCTCTGCCATCTCCCCCCGGAGATGCCCTGGAGAGTCGGGAGGGCACCAACTTCCGAGTCAGCATTAGCTGCAGGACTGGGAGCCTCAATTTCCACATCCAAACGGGACCCATCTTAACAAGATTTTTAGGATTAGAAGGTGAGGCATCTGACACAAACGAGGCACCAGCACCTGGGAACCAATCTTAATAAATCAGGATGGCGGCGCGGGCCAAGCGAACCCAGGGAGAGAGAAAGACCCCAGGTCAACACGTGGCCACCCATCTGGGATCGTGTCTGAAGGAGAGACTGTGCGAGGGTCAATCACTGAAAGGGAGAGTGAGTCACCAAGCCCAGGGCGGGCCACCAGCCCCCACTATCCAGAGGAGGAGGTCCCAGCCTGGGACGTGGCCGATCTCTGGTGTGGAGGAGGTCACAGCTCTGCAGAGGCGCCCAGGCCGGGCGGTGACAGTCAGGGGCGTGGCCCCTGGTCGGCCTTTGGCCGGAGCCGGACACAACTGCAGAGGTCAGGGCCGTGTTCTGACTCCACGCTCGCCAAGCAACTTCCTGGTTTTGACTCAGGTTCCCAGATAGGTGCACAGACACGGGCCTTGGGGCCCGTGACAGCGACTTCCTGAGGCAAATGCTGAGTGGGTGGCAGCCGAGAGGGCTCTGGGTGGTGGTCCAGGTCCTTCACCGGCTTGACTCGGCCACCGCCACACCTTCAACGAGGTCCCGCCCAGCTCCAACCAGCACCCTTCGGTGAGCCCACGGGTCCACCCCCAGGCCTTTCCGACTTAGACCGCCCAGTGTGAAGAAAGAAAAAGCCATTTGCCAGCTTTTAAAAACCGGGAGATTTATTCACATGGAAAATCCAGACTTTTTGGCTTCTTTTAAAAAAACTCTGAAGGCCCAGCTGAACAAGATGGATGTTCAGCAACCATCGGGCTGAACAATGGCTGTCCCCTTGGCCGAGCCCCACCAGTCCCATTGTCCCCATCATCGCCATCATCCCAGGGCCTCCTCACTCACTGCCCTGGACAACTGATACTTAAGCCACTGTTCCTATTTCTTAGTCTTAATGTCCGAGGCCTCGTCCCAGGGCAACCTTGGTTTCTGTCCCAAGACCTGGCTGTAGAACCAGGCTGGGGTTCGTGGGGGACGCGGCCTCCTTCTCCGGCACACCTTTCCCTAAGGGTCGACCTGGCTTCTGGTACTCCATGCTCACGGTCTGTCTCTGCACCAGCTTCTGGTTCCTGCCAGCAGTGTGGTCTGGTGGTGTGAGCAGGAGGGCCCAGGGCTCAGAGAGAGACGGAGTCCTGTCCTCGGCTCCTGCAGCTCCCCATCCGGAAGTGGGGACAGTCCCCTCCTTCCACCCAGGGAGGCCGGCTGGGGGCGCCTGGGAAGGGAGGCGGCAGTGAGTCTGGTCTCAAGGCCAGCTCTGCACTTAGCCAACCCGAGAGCCCGGCCAGATGCTCAACCTCCCCGTCCGTGTCCGGGTCACTCTGGGCGGCCCAGGGGCCTCACTGAGAACCGCTGCGCGGCATGCTCAGGGGGACGGGTGTTACGAGGACTGCTGACAGTTTTCTCAGCTACTCTCTCCCTGCAGAGAGCCAGAGCCGAGACAGAACACGCCCCACCCCTGATCAGGGGGGCATCCTAGAGGGTGTGGCGCGGCCCCTGGCAGGGCACTAACAGCACAGTGAGTCTCTGTCACAAGGGACACCTCACACCTGTCTCCAGCCTGGAGCTCTCGTGGAGGCCGGGGGGCGGGCGGGCTGCCTCAAGTAGCTCTGGGCAGGGGTATGCCCGGTGGCCCTCACCTCGAGCCTGCCTGCGCCGTGTAACAGAGGCCAGAGGGGCAGAAAGGCCTGGTAGGGTGGGGGGCACGGAGGGGCCATGGTCATGCAGACTGTTGCACCCCCCCACCACACCGCCCGAGAGGGCGTGGAATGAGCCATCACGAGCAGCAGCCGCAGACGCCGCCGACCCTGAACCCTTCCCTGCGGTAGGCCTGCCCCACTGCAACCCCAGCTTCGCAGAAACGAGTCAGGAGGGGCTGACGGTACTGACTCTTCACTGGTGGGGCGGGGGTGGGCGAGCATCGCTCTTGCTACAGGAGTGGGCTTCATAGAGGGTAGGGCTCCACGAGTTTTCCTCTCCCAACATTTCATTATAAAAAACTTCAACAGTCATCAAATTCGAAAAGATCTCACTCTGAACGCCCGAGTGCCCACCCCCAGATCCACCCACTGACAGCTCAGCCTCTGACGGTCGGGGCCCCTCCTCCGGAACCTGCAGGCCCAGTCTGGCTCAGACGCTCCCAGAGGCCCCGGTGGCCAGCTTCCTCACTGGAAGCTGCAGGCAGGCAGGACAAGTCAGCACAAGGCAGGCTGCGGCTCAGCTCACAGCACCGAGGCGGGAGTGCCTGCAGCCAGCGGCTCCCGCGCCGGGCAGTGCAGACAGGACAGCGCCACAGCGAGGGTTCCATCGGACAGCGCTGGCTGAGAGCGAAATGGCAAGACTGGCAGGAAATGCTGCAGTTACCCACAATAAAGACGGGGCCGTGCGGTTCTAACTCGGTGACATTTGAAATGTCTTCAGTGAGGGGCCAGGCCTGGCTCCGGGGCCACAGATGTGCCTCCGTTCTCCCCAGTGGGCGCACCTGCTATTAGACTGCTCCAGCAAAGCCTGAGTCGCCCGAAAGGCTGCTTTCCCCTCGAATTCAGGGGCCAGTGAACCTTGACGACTTCTGCCTGTTCTTACAAACGACGGGTTCCTGGAACCCGGCCTCCCCCACCCACTGGATGTGGCTGCCTCCCCACCCCAGCGGCAGTGCTGAGCAGTCACCACGGAGACCACCAGGGGGCTGGTGGAGCCAAAACCTTGAATCGCGTGCTCTTCAACCGCAGAGGCAGTTTCAAACTAAAGATTTCAGTCAACCACTCAGAGACCTCAACCCCAGACTCCAACCAAAGCACGAACACAGCCTCAGGACAGGAAGGAGAGGAGGTGTGGGTGAGCGAAGCCCCGGGGGGGCCTTGCTGAGGGAGAGATGGCCCTGGAAGCAGCCGGTTTCGCCAGGCACAGAACTCTGGCCCAGGGTCACCGAGGGGCCGCGTCCCAGAGCGCCTCTGCAGGCGGATGCGACACCCTCGAGCTTCGTTGTCCGCCAAGGCCACACCTCCCAGTGGGGCATGCAGAGACTCTTGAACGTAATTATGTATTTCCTAACAGAGTAATACCAGCCACCACCACTGGAGACACGTGCCTTCTTGCTGGACGGTGGCGGTGATCCCCACGACAGTTGACTTGAAGGTCTTTGAGAAAGCCCAGCAATTCCTTTCAAAGGCAGTCCCCAAGCTGAACGAGCAGGGGACATCGGGAAGGTGCTTAATGCTACAGGGATGACAGCCTGCACGTAGCCTGTTGTCAAAGATGGAAATGCCGCCCTCCGCCCCATGCTCTCAAGTTTATAAGACCGTGTCTTCCAGCACACCGCTTCTGTGTACAAGCCACAGGGATGTGCCACGGCGACCACGAGCCCCTTGTTACTGTGACACCGTGGTTTCCAGGGGCCCACGGTGCTAGGGACTCAATAGGCACACGGACACATCTTAGATGGGAGGATGGAACATCCCCAGGGGTCTGGAAGAAGCCTTTGAAAGGCAGTCATTTTCTCCCTTTAAAGTTCCATCCGCCCCCCAAGTCAGTTTCATGATCTGACTCGCAATACGGTACCCGGGAGTGAACGGAGAAGTAAACGCAGCACACGCCATCCACACTGTAAAAAGTTCTTTGTAAAAAGTCATTTAATGAGAGAAAATACCAAATTCCAGTTACCTAAGACTATAACCTACCCTTAGCCAAAACCTAAAACTAAAAACCCCAACACTTCAATGTTCATTGAAAGACAAAACCCGTGGTGAATGATTCTCGCTGGCCTGCCCGTAACTACTTTCTGCAGGAGGAAGGGTCGGGGAGTCTGTGGGTGGAGGGGGTGCTATCTACACACCGTCAGGAAGCAGACCTCGGGGCGTGAAGGCACACACTGCAGTGGAGACCTCGAAATGCAGTCACTCAGAGGTACAGACCTGCCCAGGGACCAGGAACAGTACACTGGGCGTGGGTTCGAGGCCATGAGGTGAACCACAGAGGGTCACGTCCACTGAGGGGGCCTCCCCTGGACTGTGCCTTCCACATTTTTAATATTCCCAGTCATCTTACTTGTACAGGGTTCCCTCTTGGAAGACCTTGTCTTTCTTAAACCTGACTAGTAAGAGGCAAAAACAAAACCCCCCAAATCCAGGATTGTATCTCAGCAGTGCTGAAATAGGGAAAAATCTCAGTAGAACTCTTGTTATGAAGGAAAGGGCTCCCCAAGCCTATGTGCAGGGAGAGCGGAAATCTTCCGCAACTTCCACGTCACTCACTGAATTATGATTTTATAGAAAATTTTATTCAACATACAACATTTTCCAGCAAAAAGGCAATATACAGGAAGAGTTGGTGTACACTGCTGCTACAGAAACAAAAAAATACGGGAAAAGGGTGAAAAATAAGTGTGATTTTGCTGATTCTATTTTACTGCACTCAGAACTAGACACGCGGCTGGCATTAGCTCCAGAATGAAAGGTCGGGCGGAAGTAAAACCACACACAATGAGTATCCACATCAGTGAGAGTCACCTGCAGACCCGCCCAACCAAGTCGCCTCCTCCCGGGGTAAATTGTACATGTCCATTCATTAAATATACAATTTCATTTCTCCTTTTTTTTTCTTTTTTATTTTAACTTTTTTACAAAGTCAACAGCTTACTAACCACTAGTGAGCATGCCCTCTTTGCTAAAAGGCTCTCCCTTTTTTTGTTCCGTCTGTTCCATCTTAAGGAAATTCTATTTATAATTTTTTCACCTGCTCGTGTGAACTGTTGAGATCATTAAGTTTGCTGAGAGGCAGCACAGTACACCTTAATTGTATTTAACAGTGTTTTCAATTGAATAAAAAGACCCCAGAACGTCTGTCAGGACTGTATTCAGTGCGTCCGCTTTGCACAGGGGCTGCAGAGCAGCAGTGGCTGACGGGAGCAGACGAGTTATGAAAAGACCCAGGCAGCAGAGGAGAGGAGGACCGAGGAAGGGGGACGTACACGCAGTGGAGGACAGAGCTATTTATTAGGCTGTGAGTTTCTCTGTTTCGCCTTTACAGATGCACAAAAGGTCATGGGAAGTGTAACTAGAGGAAAGACGTCGGACGAGCCTAAACATAAGACTCACGGCTGCAGGGCTGGTGGCCGGGACCCCAGCGAGGCAGCCGGGCAGCTTATGCCAACGGGGAACAGACTAGAGCCCTTCTGCAGTGCCACGCGTCCCTAACCTCTTCTCCCGGGATGCAGACAGTCGCCTTGCATTGTGGTTACCATAAAATAACTCTCATTGGCATCCAAGCTTTATAAAAACACCTTCATTTTGCTCAAAAAGGGCAGTCAATAGATACAGAGAAGCCAAACTGAACCCTCAACAAAATAAAATTAAGATCAGCAGCAAATCCTCTTGCTGAAGACTCCGGATACGGATCGAGTGCACTTGTACCAAAGTTCTCGGCAGTTAAAAAGGGGCACACACCCACGCAGGGCCCTCGCCTTGCACACACCGGGTCAGGAAGTCAGTTATGGATTTTAATGGCCTTTTCCAGGTAAGTGTAGCGACTCCTCTTTGGGGCTTTGTTGAAGTGGTCGAGCCCGAGCCAGGGCCGAGGGTGAGACATGTTACCTGGAAGGAGAGAGAAGCAGTAAGACCACAGAGCTGCCCTAGTGCCCTGGGGCCGGGGGTGGCCAACGCGGATGCTCAAAACCGAGGTGCGGATTCACGGTGAAGCCAGGACGTCTGAGCGGCACGCTCACGCAGAGCTGAGGGCACTCACCCCTCACTTAGCACCTCATCGGCTCCGCCAGACAGCCTGCACGTTACCCAGCGCCACCAACATCCTGACCCTGAATCTGAGCTTTTCAGTCACCGTTTAATGCACGTCAAGTGCCTTCATCCTTAAAAGAATTCACAGGCTACAGGCTGCTGCTGCCCCCGTCTGACAGATAACGAAAGCAAGCCCGGTCGCCCGGCTGTGGAAATAGAGGAGCTGGCACTCGAACCCAGGCCATCGGGCTCCGGCCACTTACCACTCGCTGCTCAGCCTAACTCATGCTCAAGGAAGCCGAGGGAGGGCTCTTACCAGGCTGAGGCTCAAAATCTTTCAAGTTTACTTCATACTCATCTTCATTTATGTACTGGTGTCGGCCCATCATCACAATGGCAAATTTAAACTAAAAGACAAAAATTAAAACTCCTCCATTAATTCTGGATGTAAGCAAAACTCAGAACAATGGCAACAAACGTTGAGGCCGTGTTACTAGTCAGATTTGAGCAAGCTGCCCCTTCAGCCACTCCCGGTGTCCAAGCCCATACCTTTTCAAACTCCTTTTCTTGGATGTCGAGCAGACTCTGAATCCGCTTCATTACTTCTCTGAAATGCTCGCCCTACGAATGGTAAAGAACACGTGTGCTCACTCATCTGTGCCACACTGTGGCAGCCCCCCGTGGCCCACGTGGATGCCACCAAAGCCCATTATCAGCCCGCCAAGGCAGAAAACCAAATTTAGCCATGCTAATCCAAAACTATATGAGACTTCATGTTCTGACACGAGATCCTCAACCTACCACCAAAACCCTCACCTGGTGTATCCTCAGCAAAAATGGAATTCCAAATGTTCCAAACACCTCTTTGTGGAAATGGGCCACTGTGATCAGCATCTCGTTTTCCTTATCTATGTCTACCTGGTCCAGAGGTATTTCCTGAGTACACATTTTAAACAGAGTTACATAACGCAGTTAATGCAGACAAAACACCACGTCTCAATTCTGACTTGCTACTCCACCAAGGAAGCTAGCTCATATATTTGCCAAAATGCCATGTTCAGGTCCTGTTAGAATGATAAGAGTTCAGAGCCAGAAGATATCTACGTGTTTAACACTCTGGTTTTTCAGAGATCAAATGATGGATTATTCCAGTAACTATGGAAATTTCAGCAACTCGAAAGTCAAGAGGGACCCACAGTTTCTGACTAGATTTGCTTGCTGGCCTATATTCAACACTAATTTCTAAGGACAAATTCTGTGTAATTCTACTTCTATGAGCTATCTAGAGCAGTCAAACTCAGAGAAAGTAGAATGGTGTTTGCCAGGGGCTGGCAGATGGGGAATGTTCAACAGGTATGGAGTTTCGGTCGGGGAAGATGAAAAGGCTGTGGCGATGGATGGTGGTGATGGTTGCTTATCAGTGTCATGTACTTAATGCCACTGAACTGTGCACTCAAAAATGGTGAAAATGGTAAATTTTATATTACGTATATTTTATCACAATAAAACATTTACTATGTTTCAAAATCTGGAATAATAAAATTAACCTCAAGGATCACTTCAACTACTGGTACATAAAAACAAAACTAAAGCCACTTCCGAGAGTCGCCACGGTATTTAAACAAGGCGCGGATGGGCTGCCCCACCCACGAGGGCTCACGCCCTCTCCTGGTGCCAACAGAGGACAGTTACCTCTATTCGAAACGTTCGACTCGTTGCGGGAGATAAACATTCTAACAGCTCATCTTCTTGGTGCACACCAATAATTTTGTAGCTTACAATTTCTAGCAGCCTGTACAAAACAAGAGAGGAGGTGAATGATATAAATTCATGAGAAAAAAATGATTGACAAATAGTTTTCTAGAAAGAAAGTCTTTATTATAAAATTCTTCCTAGGCAGGACTTGGCATGTTTTTCTCACTGACTCCTTAGAGAACAGATAAAGGTCTGGTTCTTTTATTAATCATACAAAGAAAACATTCTGGGAACCAAACACCCCAAGGCCGCCTCATCCTGCAGGCTGACCGTGCGGCAACGGGACACGAGAGCCCGACCCTGAAATACAAGCTCATCAGCACACCTGAGGCTTCTGTCCACACCTCAGTGCTGGCCACACTGGGCAGAAGTGGCCCCATTTCTCAAACAGGACTAGCTTTTTTCCAGTTTCGGTTATCAATCTGTTTCAGTCCCATTCTTCCTCTGCTTGGCTTAAATCACGCCTTTTTACTGCAAGTAATTAATATCAGGAGAGGAGGAGGAAAAACGGCTCCACTGTGAAATATTTATAAAGCGCTGCAAAGGGCAGGCTGAAAGCCCGGCAACGACGCACGCGGTTCCGGCTGGTCCAGTTCCTGTGGACGCAGCTGCACACGCCGAGCAGTGCCGGCCCTCCTTCCAGCCGGCAGCTTCCAGCAATACTTGCCTGAGTTTCCCTGACGCCTTCTCGCCGAGCTCTACGGCCTTTTTACATTCTTCTAGCAGGTCCCGGACACACCCGTGCTTGTCTGGATATAGTGTTATTTCCTAAGACAGGACAAGAAGAAATAAATGCTTTAAAGAAAACATAAAGGGTCTGCTGTAACGAACCAATTTTACTTGAGGAGAGAAAACCCCTGCAATCAACGTTCTCAGTGGTGTCCAGCTAGCCCAGCACTTGCCCCTTTCCCTTCCTTCCCTGACCGCTCCTGACGTATGAATTCACTCTGTCTGCCCACCCTGGGACCCACCTGGCACCGGGGGAGTGTAAGAAATGCCACTTTGCAAAAGGCAAAAACCTTGCCATTTACAGGACAGGTTCTCCAGAAATAAGCCCCTGAATGCTTATCCATGGCCCTCCCCAATTCTCATCACAGGGAGACAGAAGGCTGACCTAGACCATGACCAGAGGCGGACTGTGTTTCAGCCTGACCAATTCGACCCAGGGGAGAATGTTCATGACACGTGGCGCAAATTCCCCCTCAAAACTGGTAGAGCTAGAAAGGTCCAAACAGGTATAGACTTTCTAGAAGAACCACCCAGAAGTGTAGCTGGACACGTCTTCTGTGTGGAGCAAGCACGAGACGTTGGAGCAGCCTAGGGTAGTAACTTTAGAACTGAGTGCCCAGTGGAGCCCGAGTCCGCTCTGCTCACAGGCCGCTGCCCTCACTGAGGCCCGGCCAAGGCAGGAGGGTCTGAAAAACACACTGCCCGGGCCAAGGAGCAATGCAGCACCTTGAAGATCTGCCGACCAGTAAGGAGAGAGCTCCTGGGGGGCTCAGGCAGCCTGACGTGCTCGTCAGCCCCCAGCCTCAGAGGTGGCGGCAGGAGGGGAGACAGAGCCCAGCACAGCCACCCTGCCCTTGTTCTCAAACTCGGGGGCCAGGGGGCCACTAACACGCTGTCACTTATTAGGCTTTCTTTGGCTGTTGTAGTTTTCAAGGTCTAGGGAAGGAGAAATAATAAACGAGCTCCAATAAAAATAAAAATCCGTACCATGAAAAAAAACTTACCTCTTCCCTAAATTGGCTGTTTAACCATATACACTTAAAACTCCGCCTGTTTTCAAAGTCTGTGATTTTCATCTTAAGCTATTAAAAAAAGAGAGATTCGTTTTAGATGTGCTTCCTCAAACCCCACGCCTTCTCTTTATTCCCCAGGTTACATGAATTTGGACTCATACCTGCTGATAGTAAAGTTTCTTAGGTTGTCTAGGCTTGAAGAACTGTAGAAGATCTCTTAAAGTACCTTCATAATTATGTCTAAGAGGATTACCTGGGCCATCCCTATAACTACACAAGAAAACAGCATATAAATAAATGACTTGTTTATTGGCCTAAAACAAATACCCACGAGTGAGCATCAAAGCAAACCTCTGGCCTGACACCTAGACTTGCGATGTGGACCTGGCACAGGATTTCTCTCTAATGCTCCTGGTCCCCGAGTCCTAAGTCCCTCTGGCTGTCACACCTGAACGCTCGCTGCAGTGGTGACACAGCACACACAACCCTGGCTGAGACGGACCCAGCTGGACACATGGGAGACATACTGATGATGTAACTACAGTAAGTCTGGCTTAGATGAGGCTGTCAATTATTTTGACATCTTGGAGTAGTGTGGTCAAGATGTGAGTGGTGACAAGTCTATATCTGAAACTAAGCAAGAAATGGCATGTCAGGTGAAGTGGCTGGCTATTATTAAAATTAGTTCCAAGATGTTTGGATGAACTATGGAGAGCATGCAGTAGGCCAGAGACCGAGTGCCCATGAGCAAGGCTTACCCTTGAGACTTGAAAAACTGGAGCAACATGGGGTCAGTGTTGAGCCTCTGTGCAACGGTCTTTGCAACCTGGAAGGGAGCAGACCAGGAGTCAGAGGGAAGGGTCACACGTCGGGGAATGAACTGAAATTTGCCGATTAACTTGACCATTAATTATTTGCTTAAGTTCTTAAAGAGATGTGATGTGAACAGCTTGAATTTAAATGCCCTAGAAATTTACCAACAGGAATGATCTATATTCCTTGGTAGATCACCACGGAAGTAGCATATCTGATGACGGTAACATTTAAAGCGTTTTCACTTTTAATAGTGAGATTTATTCTAGACAATTGAATCTACATTTATTCTAGAATTATTCTCTGACAATTGTTTTTTTAATGGCTCACACTTTGCATGTTATAATTGAAGCAAAGGAGCTGTCACAACTACTTTCTCTGAAACCAAATTGTGCCAGGGGTAGAGAGGACTTCAAGGGACGAGAGGGCACCCAGACATGGTAGTGACGGGGGCTGCTGAGGAAAGAATGGGTTCTGACCCCATGGCGATGAGCACCAGCCCCCTCCAAACTCCTCCTCCTGAACCAAACACACCAGACAGCCTCCTGAGCATTTTTTTTTTTTTTTGTGAGATCAGCCCTGAGCTAACATCTGCCAATCCTCCTTTTTTTGCTGAGGAAGACTGGCCCGTGCCCATTTCCCTCCACTTTATATGGGACGCTGCCACAGCACGGCTTGACAAGCTGTGCATTGGTGCACGCCTGGGATCCGAACCTGCAAGGCCCGGGCCGCCACAGCGGAGTGCGTGCACTTAACCACTTGCGCCACTGGGCCGGCCCCTCTGAGCAAGCATTTCTAACAGGAACTTGGTCCTTCTGGTGTGGAATCTGAAGGGAAAAGAGCCTTTATCAAATACCTGAAAATAATTCATTCTATTCGATAATGTGACCACGAATCCAGGGTCGTTCGGGATGGTTTTATCACAGAAAGTGACATCCACACGGTGGTAGAGGTCCCTGAAGTACTCTTTTGCGGTGGGCAGTTCAGTGTTATCATTTTCAGGGTCATCCCTGGGGGAAAAGAACAGTTTGCAGCCTGAATCAGAGTCCACACCAGGGCTCGCCGGCAGACGACAGCATTCTCTTGCAGGCAGCAGGGGCCCCGACAGGTGCAGGTGGGACGGCAGGCACAGTGCAGGCAGCCCGGAGCCCGCCCCAGCCACCACGCACGCCGGAGGACAAGCCAGGGCAACCCCGTACGGCAGGCATGCTCTGAGCCTGCACAGCGCCGACTGCTTCCCATTCTTGATCTCAACACAAAGATAGAACGGTGCCCTCTCCCCTGCCGCACACACGAGCAAGAACTGAGGACGAAGCATGGCCCACGCAGCTGGCTCTCGGCAGCCTCTTCTCTGCCAGGAGTCGGCAGACTATCACCATCACGCGAAGGCAGCAGGACTGAGTAGTCGCTAAGTCTAAACTGTCTACTGCCTGGCTCTGCTCTTGGCAGCGCCCTGTGCAGCCGTCCAATAACCCGTGCTCGGGACTGCCTTGGCCAGACGGCTGCAAGCAGCCGAGAGCAGCGTCAGGCTGCCTTCAGACATGATGTGTCTGAGACCACGGACCTGCTGGTTTCACATGCAGACAGATTTCACTGAAATACTTAAGTAGGTGCTCTTCTAAGAAATTGTATGTTTTAAGGGAAGGAAAACCATTTTGGTATTCCATAAAGACTTTTGCCACCCTGCTCACTGCAGACATATCTAGGAAATAAAGAGCATTAAGTGACACTGGCCCCAATTCCAAAACCCAGGGGCAGCCAACTTCTAGCAGCGTCCTGGGACACTGTAGCCTCAGCGGGACTCAGGGTTGAGACATGATTGTTTCCTGGTTCTAGGACTTAGGAAAAAAGCTTCTCCTATTAGTACAAAGTTGTAAAACCCTTCAAAAAGTACGTACTTCTGAAACACTATAATGTCACCATCCATTAGTTCATCGAGGGCTTTATCAAGAGACACATCGTAGTCCTGAATTCTCTCTGTTAAATTCGGTTTAACTTCCTAGAGTAAAAGACATGAAATGTTACAATGCAGCATTTGCCCGGTGTTTAATATGGCCATAACTGTACGTATCTTCTCTACACCCCATTCCATCACCCCATTCTACCAGCCCTATATTTTTAGTAAGTTAAAATGCTAATGGGAAATATTAATACCCATAAAGATGTAATAATCACTGTTCCTAAATTGGTAAAAATCACAAACCTACAATTATGGTCCTTAAGATCACCTGAGGCCCCCACTTAGATGTAGACAAACAATAACAAATTCAGGGCCAGCAAAACAACAAAAACCCCTCTGCAAACCACCAACAATACACATATTATGGAAAAATAAACCATCCGAACCTCATAGAGGATAAGGCTAGTATCTTGGCTAAATCCTGCTCTGTCACACATAACTGGGAGCAAGTCACCTGGGTGAAAGAAAAGAGTCCAATGCTGTAATCACGGAGACTTGAGCAAAACAGACTGAGAAGGCGAGAGTGGTGAGGACTTACGTATTTTACAGGATATGGGCGTATAGATATGCCCACAGTAATTCAAGCTCCGTGTTTTGGGATCATACATCTTCAAAAATAACATCACATCATCTACAAGGTTAATAAACAGGTTTTGTTAGGATCTTAACACTCACTACAATGTTAAAAGACATATTAATAGTAAGCTTAATGAACAACTGAAATGACAGCTTCCAGCACCTAGAAGTTACTAGGTCAGATGAGCTCTATTCAAGAGGCTGATGCTACGCCTGCAGCCTCGTTCCAAACATCACACCATGGGAAACACTGCATCTGAGGCAGTAGACAGGATAAGCGCAGTGAATTTGGGAATCCTAGGACTAACTAGCTAGCTGAGTGTTGCCATGGGAATACACGTTCGTGCGTGTCTCTGCCACAGAGGTCACCGCTTGTAGCAATAAAAATCTCTCCTTTTATAGCAGGCGCCAGCACACTCCGACCCACCTGTTTTGTAAACGAGTAGTGCTAGACTCCAGCCACCTGTCACTATATTCTCTGTGGCCACTTTTGTGCTGCAATAGTGGGCAGAGGCCGTGTGTCCCACAAAGCATGAAATATGTACTATCTGGCCCTTGACAGAAAAGGTTTACAATGCCTTCTCTATGTGCTGTCAAATACACAGAAGAGGAGTGTGACCAGCAAAGAAGAGGGGCCGAGATTAAGGATGGAACACGGGGACTCAGCACAGCTGCCACCTTCCCCCACTCCCAGGACACAACCAGTCAGTCCTCCCTCCTCAGATTCATCAAGGAGCCCTGATCACGGTGCAGGGTTAACGAGCACCCGTGGAATTAACAAGATTTCTCTGCAAGGAAAGAACGCTTAACCCTGTGTGTTCAGGACGATGGTCCAGGAACCCAGCCCCACTGCTCTGAAGGTGGCTGCACGTGCGGTGGGCACTTACGATCTTTATCAAACTTGGGTAATGTGGCTCCGCTGGCGGCCAGCTCCGGGTCGACTGTTTCCAGGAATATCGTCCAGGGGTTTTCATTATCGCTGAGTTCAATCATCTAGTTCCAAAGAGATGCTGATTTTAGAGGATTTTAACAGCTGAGAGTGGACAACTACATTCGAGTACTGACGAAAATGTTCACTTGTATGTATGGACCAGCCGGGGTGAGCTGCGCCCACAGCAGAACACGGGGACAGCTCGGCCCACTTACTGTCTTGCTGCCGTCTGCCTCGTTGTCTAACATGGCTGGTCGTTTGGTTCCGTTGCTCCTGGCCTGCATGGGCCATAATCGAATTTGATCTTGTGGAAATCCCTGGGGGGGAGGATTACAGTTAAATTAATCAAAACAAAATCAGCTCTTGATCTCAATATTGTAATTCTGTATCAATGTAATGATTCTAGGATTATAAGAAAAGAATCATAATTACAACTCCCCGCTGATTCGGACAACAGTGACCTGCCTTCAGGATCATTAGCATTCCAGGGCCAAGCGCCCAGTTTACCAAAAAAAAAAGGGAGTGTGAGGGGAGATATCCGTGCAAAGGAGAAGATTCACGTTCACACTCAACTTCCTTCGCTGTAGATTCTATTGAAAGATGAGGTCAAAGGGCAGAAACAGGGACAATGAAGGCAATGAGCTCAGGTCACTCACCCCACTTGTTAGGCGGTGTGTGGACACAGCGCCTACCCCAAAAGGTTAGAAAGAAGGAAGGTGGGACTTGGAAGTCAAAATGAACCATCAGCAGAACGGGTGGCACTCACCATGGTCTGAGAGAGGTTCTGGACAAATTCAGCCAGTGAGGAGTTTTTCAATACTTTGAACACAGTGTATTTCACTTTTTCTTCATCGTACATATCATTTCCCTGGTGGCCACAGAACTGGTCCTCTGCAACTATCTGAAAACACGCACGAAAACAGAGAACCGAGTTTACAACCGACATACAAAATGAAACGCTTGTCAAGGCTGAGTTCCAACAGGAAAATGCGAGAACACCCAGTCTTTTGCTTCAGTGGACCTTCTCTGGAGACCCAAGGAGAGAAGGACCACAAGGACCAGGAGCCACATCAGGGTTTGGAAGAGACAAACCTTCACATCCATGTGGCCACTCAACTCAGCCAGAAGCATTAGCTGGAAATCCACGTGTGTGGTGATCTCCCAGGATTATAAAGCCAGGATGTACTGTGTTCCTTTATTCCCCCGGCAGTGAACGTGTTAAAACGAGTGCCTCTTTGTTTCCTAACATGGCAGCTGAATCCTGAACCAACACCATCTGGAAATTCACCTCCCTGCGGGAGCTCTCCTTCCTGCTCTGCGTCTCTGCCACGCTCTTCCAGGGCCCCCTCCCCGTGCCCCTCAAGGTCCTGCTCCTCCTCCCAGCTTGAGCTCTCCTTTCTCAGGCATCCTTCCACTGAGGCCTTGGCTCCTCTGATCCCTCTCACTTTATTTTTGCTGAGGAAGATTGGCCCTGAGCTAACATCTGTGCCTATCTTCCTCTATTTTGTATGTGGGACGCTGCCACAGCAAGGCTTGATGAGTGGTGCGTAGGTCTGTGCCCGGGATCTGAACCTGTGAACCCAGGCCGCCAAAGTGGAGCATGTGAACTTAACCACTATGCCACCCAGCCAGCGCCCCTCTCACTTTTTATAAACACTCCAACATATCGTTGCTCTGTGTGATGCCTGAGTACCTCTCACACCACGTCCTCACTTCTCCACCAATATTCAGTATATTCCAAACCGTCAGGGGGCCGGCCTGAGCAGTCACTCAGTTAAAAATGCTCAAGGAGGGCCCAGCCCTGTGGCCTAGCGGTTAAGTGCACGTGCTCCGCTACTGGCGGCCCGGGTTCGGATCCCGGGCGCACACCGACGCACCGCTTCTCCGGCCATGCTGAGGCCGCGTCCCACGTACAGCAACTAGAAGGGTGTGCAGCTATGACATACAACTATCTACTGGGGCTTTGGGGAGAAAAAGAAGGATTGGCAATAGATGTTAGCTCAGAGCCGGTCTTCCTCAGCAAAAAGAGGAGGATTAGCATGGATGTTAGCTCAGGGCTGATCTTCCTCACAAAAAAAAAAAAATAAATAAAAAAGTTGTTTAAAAAAAAAAAAATGCTCAAGGAGGGGCCGGCCTGGTGGCGCAGCAGTTAAGTGTGCGCGCTCCGCTGTGGTGGCCCAGGGTTCGCCAGTTCGGATCCCAGGCATGCACTGACGCACTGCTTGTCAAGCCCTGCTGGGGGGGCGTCCCATATAGAGTGGAGGAAGATGGGCATGGATGCTAGCCCAGGGCCAGTCTACCTCGGCAAAAAAAACAGGACGATTGGCAACAGATGTTAGCTCAGGGCCGATCTCCTCACACACAAAAATGCTCAAGGAGCCACCAGAGCAGCTCAGGGCACGACCCCCGACCTGTCGACAATCACTCTGGAAGGAGCCCGACTTCCTCCAAGCCCTCAGAGCGGCTCTCCCTCAGCAGGGGGCCCCCGCCCGTGGACCGGAGTGTCACGGCAGCCCCCAGGCTGACCTGGACTTGCATGTAGAGATGGGCTTCCTGACGCTCCTTCCGCTTCTGAGCCTCGATCCTCTTCTCTTCCTGTAATCGTTCCACCAACTGCTGAGGAATATCATGGTCGGTGACAGCTTGTAAAACCTCACCTGCAGGACAAACGCACCTTCGTTCACCTCTGTGCAGGTCTGCCTTACCCTCCTTAGGAGGTCCCGATTCTACGTCATCATTAATGAGGGAATTTAATAAAGGGAAATTATTTGGTACCGAGAGTCTAGACCAAAACCCAGGAGCCCACTCCAGCCAGCTCCTCAATGTTGTGAAGAAGGCAGAAGCAGTGGAGAACGCGTGTGGACAGGCGACACGGCTTAGGTCCACCGTAACGTGGCCTCAACTACCCGGGCAGTTGAAGGTTCAGGGAACAACTGTCATGCTCCCCACAGTGGAGTGCATGCGAGCACCCTACTCACTCAGCCGCGACTCCCTGATGTACACCAGCATGTAGGCATTGGTGCAGTGCCGCACAGACAGGTCGTCGTCGTGCCCCCCGTAGTTGTGCTCGATGGCTTCCTCCTTCGTACACCTCGACACCACGTCGTCGTCAAATTTACACCACTGGAAAGGGCCAGCGAGACGTCAGAGGCAGAGAAGGCGCCTGGGCAAGCACACGAACTACAAGGCGGCGTTTGTCTAACACACACAATCTGACGCTGTGCCCGACGGGCTCACCGCCTACACAGGCCAGCACTGCTTCCCCCTTCCTCACCCAAGACTCAGGGGGAACTGCTGACATTCACCCACTGCCAACTTTTGTAACCTACTCAAACAGCCCATTTTCAACTTCCGTTCAATCTACCAACACTACAACTCTTCAGAGAACTGAGAAAGCCACAGAGAGCGCACTGAGCTCGGGCAGTAGAAGTGAAAGGTGATGGTGGGGTCATAAAACTAAACAGGACATCTCACCTGGTCTCATGACACACTAGCACAGCAAGCACGGGCCTGACCGGAATAAAGACAGCCAGCTGGCACCTAACAGTTGTCTTCCAATCTCTCCGTCGTGGACTGAGTCATTTTAAACGGTACTCAGTCCACGGGTGAAGGTGCACACAGGTCTGGTGCGGGGGGTCTCTCCAGCAAATGCCCTTAGCACGAGCTGGGTGAGCTCAGCCTTTGCTCTGTTCCTCCCTGGCCCTGGGCTCCTGGATGCAGACCCCGAGGCCCGCATCTGCTCCCCCGCCCCCAGTGAAGACTACGTGAGGAGACCCCCGTGAACCAGGAAGAGATGGCACATTACACAGGACAATGGGACACGCAGAATAACGTGCAACCCATGCCGCCGCCCCTGCCCAGGCCGAGGGTCACTGTTCCGTTGTTACTCATAAGTGGAAAATAAAGTGCTTCAAATTAAAGATAAAGTCCAACATTACTACTAATGAAGAGACGTATACACAAAGCACGATCACTCATTTACTATTCACCTTTAAAGGATCAGTGACTTAATCTGTGTCAGAAACCTATAGATACATCAGAGGCGAGGAAGGAATCCCTCGCTCTCTGGCCGTGAGGCGGGAACAGGAAAAGCTGGAGCCTCACGGCAGTGTGCATTCCCCATGCGGCATCACAGCCACCAGCCCTGCCCAGCACTTACTTTGCCGTCCCCTTTGGGGTTTAGATAGACCACGTAATGTCCACCATGGTTATCTCCACTGTGAACCAGGACTGCATGAAGAATGTAATTTGCAGGGTCCTTAGGATCTGTTTTTTGCAAAAATTCATCGAGTGGTAACTGTTCGGGGAACTCAAACCTATTAAAAAACATTTTTAAAGAAATCCAGATTTCATTTACACGTAAAATATTTCACCTTTAGGCTTTACTTATTGCTAGACCCTCTAACCTACTGGCTCCTCTGTATCCAGAAAGCAAGCGATGAACCTGACTTGGGAGGCCCCGTGAACGACTTCTGAGGCAGCTCCCCCTCATTAGAACAGATTGGTTATTCTTACGTCGATACAAAACGTGAAGCTAGATATGAGGAAAATGCCTATACATCATTGAGATACCTAACAGATTTTCAATTTAAATTCAAAGATATTACAGCACAGTCAGTCTTGTGGTAAACATACACTGACTGTCCTAGGGCGTAGCGAGTTCCCAGTGTATTAATGAATGATCCTGATGGTCCAGGACTCAGACCACTAAGGATATCCTGCAGGTTTGAGAAACGTGGAAAAATCAGATTTGGAGAGGGAAGAAACGTAAAAAAGAATCCCCACCCTGTGATCTCTAAAGACATGCTGAACTCAACTTGTTTTTACATTACTGGCTCCATAAACTTTTGATGACACAGTCAAAATCTATCATCAGGAGCCCCTGAGGCAGGAAGGGGGCGGGAGGTGAGGACGGAGGGGCAGGGCCTAAAGGGGCAGCCGCCCGCACAGCACCAGACACCCTGCCCTCGGGAATTCCGGCTCAGCGTTGCCAAATGTTCTGAATTCCTAAAAGATGCCAGAAATCTGGACTTTTATGGGAAATCTCATGATTTTTTAAATGTTGGCAACTAATTCCAATAAAAACAAACAAAACTAAGGTGAAGACCCAACAAAACACACCTGCAGGCTGGACTTGGTCTGCAGGCCACCCACAGGAGGCCTGGTGGACGGCCTCTTCTCTGGTCCACAGTAAAGAAAGCACGAGCAAAGGCCCTGCCACTGGCAGGTCATCTGACTGGGTCACATTTTCCCTCGAGTCTGAAGGGTAACTGACCAACCTCTACTCCATACAAAGTTGGTACTCACACTACTCAGGACAAAAACTCTGTATTCTAAAAGTCAACACCAACTGGGAGATTACAGAATATTGGAGAATCCTATTTAAAAACAAACACAATGTCGTCAAATTCCACTTCGAGGGGCATGCAGGAAGCAGCCTCTCCTCGTGGACTTTGACCTGGCCCAGCATGGAGGGGCCAGGGCTCTGAGAGGAGGACACAGAAGAGTAGCCTCTAAATCTCCTCAGAGCAACTGTCCCTTTAGAATGACAGTTCCTGGACACCTAGGTACACGGGAAACCTAAATAAACCAGGGATGAGACCGAAACATGACGAGTAAACAAAGCACTGAGATGAGCCCTAAATCAGGTGACAACATCTTCCTGTCACGCCCCGCTCCAGGTTACCTGTCGTTGATCTTGATGTTTTGGTCCGTCTGAGGGTCATACATAAATCTCATCAGTTGTAGATGTAACACTGGTGGCAATGTTAGGAATTTCACTCCTTTCTCTGCTTCCTGAACATGGAAAAAGAAACACACATGTAGTTCACCTCTGCCTGTTTCCTGAAGCAGTGAAGCAACAGCGTCTCAGGAGACTGGAACATGCAGGCCTCTGGTGGGGAGAGGCAGGGGCCTAGCTTCCCTCCAGGATGCCTTTCAAGTGTTCTGTGAGATCCATGTCCGGCTTGCTATTAAAATAACGCTGCCGTAGCCTGTGTGTGCGATTCCCTCTCAGTGTGGATTATACTCTATCTTGAGGCCTGGCAACTGAGGAATGGTTAAATAAACTAAATCTTAGTCACTTGCTGCCATATTATATGGTCACTACACACTACGAAAAATATGGAGAAACACAGAAAAATCATTAAATGGAAAAGCAGAAGCCTCTGATTATAATTATGCCAGATGAGGTGTCCTTACAGGAGGCCTGACCTGAACAAGCACAGACGAACAGTCACGGGTGGGGAGGACCGCCAGTGACCGGCTGCCTTTCCCTCGACTTCCGTGATGCTTACATAGGGAGACACGTTATGGAGCACACACTCAGGGCTTACTGTTCGATCCCACTTCTAGACACGTTCTGTTTCATTATCAGCAAGGCCCTCTGACCACCAACACAGCCGCTGCTCAGCCACTGCCTACCTCGGGCTACAGGACAGCCCCGGCTCCTCAACACGGCCTTCCCTGGGGGTCCCGAGACTCAACAGCTCACACCTCACCTCCCTCCGCTGCACCTCAGCCAACTCTGCTTTCCTCACTAAAATCAGCCTTTGTCAAACTCAAACTCAGCATATGCAAACTCCCAGGCCTCAGGGGCCCTCCCCAGGCTGTACGTCCAGTTCAGACCGTCCTTCTGGGCTGTAGCCCTTATTTCCAACACTTGCTAGAGAAGTCCACCTGGAGGAACTGGTGGCTGTGACAAGGCACACCTATCTGGCCGTGTTCTCTGACGTACACTAGCGTATTTAAGAGGACAGGGTTATCTCTGGAAAGAGAAAGAAAAACCCAAGAAACTATTGCCACACAAAGAAATAGCATGGTTTTAATACAACTTGAAAGAATAATAAAAGAATTCTGTTTCTCCATGGCTGTCATTGAGACTGGGAGTCTAAAATACGTATTGGAGAAACGCAGTGTCCCTGGTTTCTCTCATGTATACATGTTACTAAACTTGGTATTATTTTCACCTGCTACAAAAAAAATAAATAAAATAAAAATAAAATAAAATACGTATTGTTCACCCAGACTCTAAAACATCGGGCAATTCCTGTGAGCTGACTCAAGTGTTTCCTAAGCACATCCAGCTGCATGTTTGCAAAGTGACTTCCTGATCCACAACCCAGCACCGAGTGGCCTGACCAAGCAGGAGAATAGCAGATGTGTGGCCCACTGCAAAACAGGTACATTGGCACCATGCATTATAAATTAGCAGGCTTGGTAAAAACAGGACAGTCTGAAAAACTATAAATTAGTTAAGCCAATGAGTCAAGGTTATGCGGCCGGCTGCAACAGAGACCCCGGATGGCTGGATCCGTGAGGATGCTGCAGATCCACCGACCAGCCTGACCAACAGCCTGGAGCTAGCCACCGTCCACATCCCTCTACTGACCATGGACTGGTCGCTTGTTCACGAGGCTTGCTGCTCTGCCAGAAGCCCAGAGTCCCCGTGGGGCCACGTGGGAAACAAACAGGGACAACCAAGTATACGTGGAGCAAGTAACAGACAATGTACTCTTCATTCTAGAAATCGTGATCCTCAGAAAACTGTAACTCCATCACACAAAAAAAGCAAAACACCACTAGCCAAAACAGAGTCCAAGTTACTGAGTCCAGTGATGCCCAGGAGAAACGGAGGAAAACCCCTGCACTGAACCAGTATGGGCAGGAACGGAATAATGGATGAAATGGAGAAAACATCTTCATGCACCGGGACAGAGGTGCAAACACGCTGCATGTGAATTTCCTGCTGGCACCTTTCCACCCGTTCCTGCCCAACTCCACCAGCACACACTCAGAGCTCTCTAAATCCTAGCAGCATATGCAAAGGCACAAGTGAATTTTTAGTTCACAATTAAGCAAAAAAAATTTGAAAATAAAGTGAAAGGCCAAAACAGGACATGAGTACACAGTTTCCACGTTACCTGCAAGCCGTGCTCCCCAGCGTCGTACTTATTGTCACCATCGAGTTGTTCTACTGCCACGTAATCCACAAATGATTCAAATACTTCAAGAGAGAAAGAGAACAGAGTCAGCCAAAGTTATCAGGAAAGCTTCGATGACAATACAGCCAAGCCAGCACGTTGGGGAACGCCAGGGAAGAGGCTGTGAGTAAGGGCAGCCACGAGCAGGAGGGCTCAGCCTCCATGGGAGACAAGATAAATGTGCCATGACCACCTGCCCCACCCACAAAAGGCGAAAACTCCAACGACACTGATATGGTTTCTTAAAGGTGTTACAAACGATAACACAGAGACAATGTTTTAATAACAAAATCAAGTTACTGTAAAGTACAAATTTTGACCAAAATAGTCATTAAAAACCTACAATTATTAAGATAATGTAGAAAGATAGCAGGAATGTGGGGGCCGAGGGGGGGAATAAGGAGAGGTTGGTCAAAGGGCACAAGCTTTCAGCTATAAGATGAATAAGGACTGAAGATCTAATGTCAAACACAGTGACTACAGTTAACACCACCGTATCGTACAATTAAAATGTGCTAAAAGAGTAGAACGTAAATGTTCTCAGCCCCCAAAAAAGAAATACGTGAGGTGATGGACGTGTTCATTAACTAGATGGGACAATCCTTTCACAAGTATACGTATATCAAATAATCACGATGTACACTTTAAATATCTTACAATTTTGTCTATTCAACTACAATAAAGCTGAAAATAAGAAAGAATGGAGCATCTATCCAAGATAACCAGTGGACCAGAAGAGAGAGTCTAGAACAGATCTACACAAATACGAATGGCTGACGGTGGACAAAGGCACAGAGCAATGAGGAACATGTGGGGTCCCCTGATGTCCACAAAGGGGTGAGTGGAAATCAATGCTGACATCCTACCATACGCAAAAATGCTATTCCAGGGGGATTGCAAATACAGAAAAGATAAAACAATAACAGGTAAGAGAATATCTTATGACTTCAGGGCTGGTGTTCTTAGGACACAAAAAGCAAAGACTGATACACTGGGTTTCACTAAACCTATTAAGTTCTGGTAAGCCAATGGAAACATTAACAGACCGAAAAGGGGAGCCCCGCACCGGGGGAAGATCTCAGAATCCAACCCAGAAGTGGCGTGCAGACACACAGAACGACTCCTGCTCTGGTCGTAAAGGGACAACAGGGATCGGGCTTCCTCTCCTGCAGGGAACTAGCAGAACAGTGGACCTGTGGAAAACCACCACTTCCACACACTGGACGACAGGCAGTGCAGGACAGCGACCCCTGAGAGAGCCCTTCAGCTGTTCCGGTCACTGTGTCGAGTCTCCAGGCTGCAATGCACGGCAGGGAACCCTGAACAGGGCCCAGAGGCTCTCTGAGGCACTGAGGAGACAACAGTGAGAATCTGAGGGTCCACGGCAGCTGCAATCCGTGGGACAGAGAGCCCAGGAGGGGCGAGCGGCCCAAGAGGAGAGCTCAGCAGTTTGCAGAGGGTTCTCTCGGAGCTGTCAGTGAGTGCTGGTCAGCGAGCAGAGAGGAAATTATCTGGGGCCGGGGAAGAGCCACTGAAAGGACCGGTGAATGGGCCTCAGAGCTCACAGCGGCCTGGGAACAGTCTGTATGCCCTCCAGCCACGGTGGAAAAGCCTCAGATCATATGGACTTCAGGCTGAAAACTCAGCAAGGTGCTGCCTCAGATCTGGGGACAAACGAGCCCTCAACTAAACGCTGCTGCACTCACACCCAACGAAGCCTGCAAACAAGCTTCCCAAGAGCCACGCTGTCTCCAAGGAGCTGGACCGGGCCCCGGAAAACGGGGAAGGACATCCAACACCCAACACGAGACAGACCACAATGGCCGTCAGCCAGCAAGAGCACCAGCCCAGGAGGAGGACAGAGGCCAGTCAACAGAAACAGACCCAGAAACCAAACAACACAATCAGGAGACGGACATTAAGTTACTATATTTCATGTATTTAATAAGATATCCAAACTGCCAATAAGCATACTGGAAAAGGCGACCACCTCACTCATCTTCAGGGAAATACAAATTAAAACCGAGGTAGCACCACAGTCCCACCAAAATGTTCCCAGTCTGACTGACAGTTCCGGCGTGGATGTGGACAATGCAAACTCTCACACACTGCTGCTGGGGGTGAAATCGATAAACCGATTTGGGAGACTTGCTAGCTTTACCTATTAAGCTGAATATTAAGCATACCCTATCAGCCAGCAATTCCACTTGCCTAAGTGCAAAATACAGGTGCACCAGAGACAGGCACAAAAGTGGCCTTATGCCTGATAGCCTCACAGTGCAAACAAAAATATCTATGAAGAGAAAAATAGTTTCAAAAAATTTTGATATATTCAAAAAGTGGAAAACTATACAGCAATGAAAATGATCACACTACTGCTTACTCACAACATGGATGAACCACACAGATATAATGTTGAGCAAACGAAATGAGAAACAGACACTACATCCCACATGATTCCATTTACATCAATATTTAAACCATGCAAAAAGTAATAACTAGCGTAGGATGTTAGATGCCCAAATATTGGTTTCCTCTGAGAAGGGGGAGGTAGCGACCAGGAAGGACCAACAGTGGTGCTAGCAAATGTTCTGTTTCTTGACCGGGGGTGGGGGTGAGGGGATGGTCACGAGCCTGTGTTCCCTCCGGGAGCTGTACACTCACGATTTGGGCAATTTTCTCTATCTATGCTACATTTCAATGAAAATCACTGGTGTAAATGAAGCATTAAACAAAACAGAAATGATCAAGAGGTCGTGCCATTATGGACACAGAACTTACTATTCTTCTTTCCTTTTATACTTAGCTGGATATCATAATAATCTTCTCTCCTATCAGATCGGTAGTCTACTTCTTTACACTGGATATAGGACTACAAGTTAAGAAAAATAAGATGGCTTCAGTATTAATTGTCAAAATATTCACATTTTAAATCTTCTAAAGTCATTCTTTTAAACTGGAATCACATACCACCATTTTGCCTCTGAATAATTTAGGTATGGTGCCTTCTACACACGTGCCTTTCATCTTATTTTCCACATTATCAAGCAACTGGAAAAGAAAATTTTAGCTTTAAGAAAATGTTATGCTTAATTAATATACAGTAATTTGAAACTTGACTAGGAAATTTCAATGGTCAAAGAAAATCTAGACTATAAATATTATGACCTTTGGCATGCAATTTATCAAAAACATATAAAATCTTCCTTGGTTGGATATTTACAAAAATATCTACATGCAACAGTTGAGATTAACCCTTTACACAGCCTTTGGAATGAATTAGTAATCTGTAGTGCCTTTAGAAGCATTTTTTATATTCGTTTTACCTCCGTGGAAAAGCATGTAAATTGAGCACTAAACTTAACTCGTATTGGTCCACACCAAGAGATTAATGAGGTTGAGCCTGTCAACAGGATTGACTGGTTTGTCCATGGATATTTAATGAACTGGATTCAATCCAGCTAGTGCTGCAAAAAAGAAAACACACCTTGCCCAGCCAATCACCTTGAATAGCCATTTCATGTTGTGTGTGTGTATGTGTGTGTGTGTGTGTGCATGTGTGTGTGTCTTTCTTTCATCACAACTGGAAGAATGGGAATTGGTTAGTGACTAAAGATGGTTCTAGGGAGAATCACCCACACAGAGGGCGGCCTCAGTGAGAACTTCTGTGTGAAGGAGGGGTCTGGACGCTACAGAGGAACAACACAAGTCACTGCTCTAAAGTGAGGGAGGATAAGCAGGACAGCTACGTAAGCCAACCCGTTGTTTCTCTGATTGATAACTCAGGTAGACAGACCAACGTAACACATTAAAAGTATACTACCTACTACTACTGAAATTTAATTCCCCTCATACTTCACTTTCAAATAATCATTCTTTTTTTCATTCTTTCTAGCTTGTAAACGTGACAAATGCTGCCTTTTCTCTCTAGCCTCGCTCTGGTCCTGAGCAAAGAGGGGCACATCTGAGTGATACTGACATGAAGGCGGCTTGAGGTTTCACTTGGTAACAGCTCCTGATGGTGCTTCAGAAGATTAAATGTAAGGAGTACACAATTACAGCTTAAAACTTACCACTCGACACAGCTCTTGAACATCATGTTGCATGAAGCTATCTAAAGTTTCCCACCTTAGAAAGATAAAATGAAACATTTATACTTAAAACTTCCAAATTTCAAATAAGAATAAATTAACAAGCAAAGTAGATTAAAAAATCTAAACTGTATCATCAGCCATTACTCTTAAATTCATTTTTTGAGGAAACTATTTTTGGAGGTTATAATTCAAAGATAAATTGAAGTTTATCAGGACACCAAAATGTTCAGAAGTTTTTTATCTTGTTCTGACAATCTTACTGCAAGGGAAGGTCGTGTTTGCAAGGAAATGTACATACATTTGAAAACTATACACGCCCTTTTCTTGAAAAGTAAAACTTTCAGTGAATTATTCCTCAAGCAAAATTCTAAAACAAAACCTCTATTTCCAAAGAGGTGAAACAACACAGTGATAAAAACACTGGCATAATTAGCGCTCACACACTATGCTCTCAATGCTTCCCCTCTCCCTTCATTCATCCTTAAAGAAAGCAGCCAAACGGACGGGGCAGCTCTTGCATACACACCCAAAGGACTTCGTCAGCTTTTTGGTTCCTACGGGCTTGTCACTGTGCTGCAGTTCGTAGAACACTCTTTGTAATGCTAAAGGAACGCTTTTAGATGAGTCGTCGCCCTCTGTCGGCATCATGTACACAGCCTAAAAGAAGTGAATCAGAAATAAAAATGGAACTTTATGTGAAAGTATCATTTCTAATATCACAATGGCTTAGACAGCTGCTAGGGCTTTTAACTATCCCCCAAAGAGGTCAGAAAGTTTAAAAAAAAAATCATCAAAGTCTTTAGAGACAATCTAGAAAACACAAGTAAAACGAATAAGAAAAATTATCTATAGCTCACCATCCAAACAGAACCACTTATTTTGTACTTCTTAGAGCAACATTTTTTAACTTAACATTACTTGTGAACAATAGATTTGATGAAACTTAAATGTTACTGAATCATCCACACTCAGCTATTCCCATGGTATACTATCACAGTAATTGGTGCTGTCCAGAAATAGCTCAAATATAACATGAAAGGCCAGCAGACCAGCCAGTGGTCCCCCACGACCAGGAGCACGTGTTGTCTGTACCACTTAACACTGTGCATATGACATGCCCAAAGTACAAACGCCTATCCTACATTAGATTCAAGGGACGTCTACTCTTTTTATTAATACTTATAAAAATAAGTTTTATCTACAATCAGTGAAAATCGGACTTCGAAGCCAGTGGTTTTTCAACAAATCAATTTTGATATAAAACTTCTCAAATGCTGCTGCTAATGGCTCTCACATTTAAAAAAAAAATCTTATTTCTAGCACAATTAAAGTTAGTCTATTAGCTGTAGTAAACTTTTGATCACCCAAGTTAGCTTTACAGGTGTCTGAACACTGAGGAATAGACATGTATAAGCATAAAATTGGGGTCCCTCTCAGGAGACAGCACTGTGGTACGAGGAGACACTGCCAAGCTTGGTGAGAGGATTTTGCTCGCCCCTAATACTTGAGAGAAAAGGGGAGGTGGAAGGTTGAGGGAGAGAAATACCATCCATTTACCTTTCGTAGTTGATTTGTGAAAAATAAAGTCTGCAGCAGGCTGTTCATGTAACAAGTCGCTCCCTGATTCTTTAAACCGACATAGCCCGTGTGCTTCTTTGAATCCCACCTACAAGATCAGTGTGAGGTTGAGGGAAAACTGCACCGACACCTCCTTGCTTCTGCAATGTGTGTGGAGGATTCGACCAGATGTCAGCGTGGTGGCCAACATTTCACTGCTAATGCACCGTCTCCTCTTTGCCACCATCCTGACACAGGACGAAGTCCAAGTGCCCCTCCAAGTTAATGCCTCATCACCAGGCCCAGGGCACTAGGGACAACAGAGCCACGAGTTCTCATTGCACACTCCCTTCCATGGTCACTGATTCTGTTCCCCCAAGTGCGTGGAGCAGTGCAAATGCAACCCCAGCATTCGAGAAGCAGCGTAAGCACTGTCTGCTGGCAGCAGCACTGCCATCGTTTACCAAGATCAGCAGTCACAGACACTAATTATATATTTGTATCAAATGACCCCCAATGTAGTTCTATTACATGCATATTAAGTCACGTGCGTAGTCAGCAAGACATAGAAACAGCTGAAACTCCTCTTTTCTGTAGAATCGCATACAAAGGAAAAGACAGGCATGTACACTGGCAAATTTTAGTTCAGACTTCTAAACTCCTAGACATTCTTCCTCCTTAGTCTGCTATTCTGGTGGTTGGGTAGGAGCAAGGTAGTCTTCCCAGAGTTAACAGTCCCCTCTGCCCTCCTTCCCTCCCCCCAGTACTAATAGGAAGCTAAAGAGAATGCCACTTGAAAGCAGAACCACCCACCCACTCCACCCCCACCTCCCTCTGTACATAATACAAAGACATGAACAAACACGCTCTCCACCAGGCGTGACCAACTCTAGAGGGGACATTTACTGTGGGGTCAGGGTCAGCAGTGCCCTGTGATTCCAGGGGTTAGTCCACGGCCTTGCAAACACGCTCAGGTGTACCAAATGGCCCTGGTTAAAATGCACGTGTGGGCAAAGCATCTTAAAATTGGCAAGAAAACACAAGAATCCTGAATTACAGATGGTTATTTTACAATCAAAGATTTAGGTGATAATGGTTGAGTAGATTTTGACAAGTGAGAGCAAACCAAGAAATCTGTTTTGATTGGTAAAGCTGAAAAATTTGGTCTACTTTTTTAAGCCAAAAGACGTTATCATAAGCATAAGGGAAAAGTTTTTAAAACGAGAAAAAAAAAACAATTAAAAAACCTTGTTTTTGCCCCATACTCCTGATACCTGAATACAACTTAAGTGTATGTTTTGAAAAGGCTACTTAATAAAAGCCTGATTCCTCCTGTACCAATCCAATCAATATAAAAACTAATAAATCTTATTTGCTTTTTAAAAAATTCCCAGCACACCCCCACGCCCCGGCCACGTTAGCCAGGACCTGGACCAAGTGACAGCTCCTTCTTGGCTGCCCTCCTGTTCTTGGCCCCATTCCGTCTAGCTCACCTATGCACTCTCGCCAAAGGACACGGCCTTATGCAATGCAGAAAATAACGTGAGCAACAGACTGGTGCCTGCCACTCAACCTCCTCTCCGCCAGCGTTGTGTGGTTTCATGCTTGGGCCTTAAAAACTTCACTGGTCTTCTACAACCTGATCCCAACATGCCCTCAGCCTTTAGTCCCCTCTTCACGCTGTCCCGACACGCTGCCCTGATGCGCTGCCCTGCTGGTGTCTTTCATGTTGTTCTTCCCACCCCCAAATTCTGTTGACATCTCTCCTTATCAACAAATGACCCAATGCCATACATTTTTTAAGGCCCAAAACTTCCTCTTACACCAGACTCCCCTGGACTGAGCGACAGAAGCATCTCCTTGCAGGTCCTCCTCCAATTTCTGTCCTGCCTCACTTCCCACTTCAACCGGCCAGTGGTGCTCAACTCCGCCCCTGCTTACCCATCATCACACACTGAGGACACTCAGATTTTCACATCCCTGCCCTCTACAAAATAAAAACAGAGCAGCTCCTGCTGTCGTCATTTACGTACTGGTCTTAACTCCTCTACCCAACCAGTCTGTACGTTCTTTGAGGACAGAAACCCATGGCTGTCTCGTTGACCATAATTACATGCCCAGTGCACAGCAGTGTCTGACACACAGGAACCGCTCAATAAATCTGCTCAATAAAGGAATGAATGTGAAGCTAGCACACACATCTGTGTATTCTGTACATGTGTGCCAAGGGGCGCGCAGGGGGAGGGCGCTCCTCTGTTGAATATATGCATCTCTGTTAATATGCTAATGCTTCTCTCACCACAGCACAAAAGACGTTTGTTAATAGCACCCAATTAAAGGAAAACTTACGCAACTCCATGGGGAGCATCGGCCTGTACAAAGACTTCAAAAGTAACTTTGTCATCATCTATAAATCCTTTCTCAGGATCAGTCACTTCCTATAAAAAATGAGAATATCCAACTTGTGTGAGAACATCCAAATGCTCATATCATTCCACAGAGGCAGCCACCGTGTACTGCATAGATTAAAATACTACTTTTTCAAACACCCAAATGGTGCTTCTAGTTCTGCAGCGTTTTGATTTGTTCTAAACTGTTCTCTGAACAAAAACAGAAAAGCCTGGCTCCTCGAGGCGGCAGCCAGAGGCACTGGGGGCTCAGTGCCACAGCATGGACTGGAGGAATCGGCACCTGCTCCAAGGAGCCAGGCTCGGGGAGGTTCGGGGACGCTCTACTGGTTTCTACCTCTGTAAAAAGCAGCCAAAATGAACAGACTTGAGAATTTTTTTTTTTTTTATAAAGATACAAATATTTATTTATTTATTTATTTTTGCTAGGAGATCAGCCCTGAGCTAACATCTGCCAATCCTCCTCTTTTTTTGCTGAGGAAGACTGGCCCTGGGCTAACATCCGTGCCCATCTTCCTCTACTTTATACGGGATGCCACCACAGCATGGCCTGACAAGCGCTGCGTCGGTGTGCGCCCGGGATCCGAACTGGCGAACCCCGGGCGGCCACAGCGGAGCGTGCGCACTTAACCGCTTGCGCCAGCGGGCCGGCCCCTGGACTTGAGAATTAATGAAGTTAGGGCAAATCACCCCACACTATGCCTGACTCAGGAAAGAGCCCCAATCGGTATTTCTTTTAAAGGAAACCTGGCCTATCAGGAAAGCTTGTGACTACCTCACAATGTCTGACAAAAAGCCGAGACTTGAGTCCTGTTGGCTGCTAAACACATGTTCACAGATACCTGTCCAACTCATGGCACAAACATTTGGACTCTAAAACGAACACAAGGACTTGAAGAAATACAGAATAAGCGGAACAAGGAATAATGCTCAGATTATTCAGTCTAAATACACTGTTACTTACACTCCAGGCCATAAAATTGGAAAATCCCCAATCGTTTTCTTTATGGAAGAACAAATGACTAATACGACGACTGAAGGACTTCTCATCATCTCTGTAATTTATGATCTTCAGCACTGCCTGTGCATGGCAAGACCACGACCTGTTTAAAGAAAATAATCTACGCCTTAGTTGAGAAATTTAACTGATGTTTATACATTTTTTAAAACACACAAAAAAATTCCCATATTTCTGTTCTTTTTTCTCTTCTATTGTATTTGGAGGGATCGGGGTGGGGAGACGGGTTCACCTCTAAGGGAGAAAGAAGCGTGCCCCTGAAGCAGTCTGTGGTGCAGTGACCTAATGCATGGTTTTATTCATTTTTTAATTTCTGAGAAGTTTTATGCCAAGTTTTTTTATTGGTATCTATAAAATACAAGTTTCAAACTTTAAATACTGGTCCTAGGTTTTGTAAGAGACTATAGCTTTTTGGTTCTAGTATCTATTACGCATATGATTTGAAAAGAACAGAAAAAGAAGAAAATGATGATAATGCTATCTTTCAGATGAACAGACTTCAAGCTCTAGGTTCTCCTGATAAAGGTGTCACTCTGAGCGTCCTTCCTGCCCCTGAAGCTCGCGGGTCCTGTGGCTCTGGTCCTCCGAGAACACCTCTCACACAGCCCGTAGGCAGGGCTGTGCGGGGGCTCCCGAAGAACCCTGAGCCTGGGACAAATCACAACCACGAGAGAAATGACTGCAGGTGCAGTCAAGTTTGGGGCAGACCACAGAAGGGCCTCACAATCAATGCTTAAAATGTTTAAAAGCCAAAAAGACACACCACTTGAAAAGTTCACTAAAGGTTTACAATCACGGTTGAGCTTTATAAAGGACTGCTAGAGCTGAACTCTGACCTGGCTGCAGACTCACTACCACAAGCGGAGAGCAGTGTGTTCATGGCAGCACTTCTGCCTGCTCAGATGCTTCCGCGGGACGTGGACAGCTCACTGTTCTTCCAAACTACCATTCAGGTACAATTGTCTGTTAGACTAAAATCTAACCCAAATAGCAGATCAGGTCATAACGAGAACACAGGAAACACAGGAAGAAGAAACTTAACCTATATACAGGCTCTGGCCGCACCATAAAATTGGCTGGGCACTTCTTAAACGTTCAAGTACAAAGAAAAATGAAATGAACTGTGTTCCTTGGAGCTTTGACAGCATAGCTAGAGCCAGCGCTTTTGGGGAACAATCTTCATTGAGGGCCCCAACCTGGGGGTGGCGGGGAGACTGGAAGGATGGGTCCGAGGAAGCAGCCTTCTCTGACTCCTCGACGTGGAATGAGAAAGACAGGGTGACAGTGATCCGGATCCCCTCAAACACTGTCTTCTAACAACGAGCTTCTGAGGAATGCTGGGCAGTGACAGTTTTTAGGGGAAGAGTCAAACTTTTGACATTGAATCAATAGATAGAAAATGTGAAGCCCTAATCTTTGGTTTCATCTGAATAGAGCAACCACCAAGACTCTTCTCAATTTTAAGACATTTTATAATGTACCTTTTTTCAGAAATTACATGAATAAACTTTTTTTTTTCCAAAATAAGCCAGAGAGGCCCATCTTGTAAAACCCTGAAAGAATGTTTTAATTTGAACTTTCTGAGTAACCCACAGGAATTGGTTAACACACCATGAGGAGGATGTCGGGCCTGAGGAATTTCCTTAACCAGAATTTCCCCCTCAGGCAGTTACTGGTAGAGTTAAGAATTAAGCCTGGTAATCCAGGAGTCAGCTGGTCCAGATGGGCTGATTCCATGTTCCATGGGCTGGTAGATTCTAACACGTGAACTTTAGTGTTTTATTTGCAAGAAAAATATACACCATTTCTAGTTTGGACATAATACCTACCAGTCGAGTTTTAAATAGGGAAATGTATTTAATTTAAAATCAAAGGGCTATGTAGAGGCAGCAAGGAAATTCAAAAAGAGGCCGATCAAATTTGGCTTCCAATAATGTATTATAACTATTTGTGGATTTGTAATTGCATCATTTAAACCGTCTTACGTGGAATCAGATTCAGCATTGCACTGGAGAAAGAATCCTACGCTTTTTTGGTGTGGTCTGTCTGGATAAAAGCGTGGCATCACCATAATCTTCCATGGCAGATTTCGCACAAAACACGGAGGGCTAAGGACCGACTCACTCAGTCTGCTGAAGCGCTCGACAGTGAACTGAAAGGTTGCCTCGGAGCGCCAACTCGTGTCTGCAAGAAAACGCTTTGTCAGTCACAGAGCCCGGGCACTGGGAAACAACACTGAAAGCACCAAAAAACTTAGCATAAACTACTCTACACAACTGCAATCTGACTGCTAAAACCTAAGTCGTTGGAAAAATGAGAGTGTCATTTCCAATTTATTAATAACCTAAAACAGCAAGACGACATACAGCTTCTGTGTAAACGAAATAGAAAACTCAGAGTGCTAACAACACACACTGCCTTCCCTCCTAGGTTCAAAGCTCGGTGTCATAAGATGTCCACGCTGCTCTATCATTAATTCCCAAGTAATCCTTAGTGAGTGGAGAGACTTTGGAGAGAAGCAATGAAACGGCTCATGTACCATCTGTCCAAGCACAGGACTCGTGGAGGAAAGGAAAAAGGCTTGGACTTGGGCGAGCCTGGAGAAGAGAGATGAAGGGGCGCTGAATATGTAGGCACGTACGGCCTTCGGAGGGAGTGGGAAACAGCCATTCCTGCAGAAGCGCAGCACTGTTTAGAGACAAGATTCCTAAGAAGTTAGCCTAAAAATAAATGTTAACTTCATTAGTTCACAACTTTTGTGAAATACCAGCCTAGACTCCCTAAGGAGAATAATCAAAAAAAAAAAAAAAAAAAAGAAATTGGTATTCTTTTCAACATGAATAGTATAAATTGTTAAATTTACTCAACAAGACTGAAGGCCAATTTAATGAATTAAGGTTTCCTCCAATAAAAAGCAAAGTCTTGATACAGTGCCTCTTAGCAGACTTGCAACTAAAAGCCAAAATTCAGAATGCTACCTTTTACTGATGGTGACCGTGTACAAGTGACACAGCCTGCCGACAGCTTGGACAAGCCCAGCAGTGCCCACACCATGAGGAGGAGCAGCCCCCACGGCCACCTCGCCCATCTGTCACTGGCCGGCACCTTATAACACATCCTAGAACCGCTGCAGCAAGGCCAAATTGCTATACAAGTTCCTTAACGCTCTCTCTCACTTTCTGCACCTATCTCGCTGCAGATTGGCAACAGGTCATAGACCGGCAGGGGGCCGAGGGCCACACTTTGAGGAACCACAATTGGTCTCTAGAATCGAAGATGCCTGGAAGGTTTTTTCTGGTTTAGAATCAGGCACTATTTTGACGCCCAGGCTCCTGAAGCACAAAGTGAGACTCACAGGCTTGGGGGAAGAAGAGCATGTTAAGAACACACTCCCTTGTTTCATCCTTCAGTCTCCAAACTTCACTAACACAAGCAAGCACTCAGGACGCAGACTTCTCAGTGCACAGACTGCTTCGTTTGCGACTAATTCAATTTGTTCTTTAGAAAACATGTCCATCAGTCCTCACGAGAGGGTAGTCTTCTTCACCAAAGGAAAAAACCAAAAGTATACATGACAGTTAGCGTTTTACCTTCTTTTCAACACTCTTCATCCCCCACTTTTTCACTACACATAACCCGTCTCCGCAGTTGACAGAGAGGGCCTCCGGGAGGAAGCACAGCTGGACAGGGTGAGTCCCGTCTGAGGGGGCATCACGTATTCAAGCCTCTTCAGGTGGCAGGTATTGCCCTAATCCCTTTGAGGGACAGAAGTCCACCAAAAAGGCAAGAAACCTGTTCAAGAGAATGACGTCTAGAATGGCTCAGGAGAAAAGTGGGCCACTTTTTCATAGCCGGACAAATCACATTTGAGCAGCACGTAAATCCTGTGAGGCGGGCAAGGGCAGATGTTCTTCCTCACTTTACGGATGAGGAAACCAAGGCTCGCTGCGGTTACGTGGCTTATCTTATCCAGAGTGTTTTACAAAGTGACCACGGGGGGTTTCAACACCCAAGATTTTGTGGACACTAAGCACAGTGACTCCGCCTTTGGTTTGTAAGACGCCGTTCTCAAGCTGAACTTAGGGCCACACCACCGCAGACCCCAACAAAGCTGGCCTGCATTACAGTGAGCAGGAGAACAACGAACGTAAGTCACCGCTGGACACTCACTCCTGGGGCCTCAAGAGTTCAGAGTTGCAAGAGCCCATCTTTCTTCTAATGCATCTATTTTGTTTTCAGATACAATTCAGCTCTTTGTAGCATTAGACTTTTATATAGACAAACACTGATATAATTATTATAAATGCTCTTTTGTTCTTCCACCGCACACTTTAGTCAAATTTCTGAATTAATCTTTAAAAATAAGGTAGGTCCCAACATTGAACTCAGCGTGGCACTGAGTCCACGAGATGGCAAGCCCTTCAGTGGCCCTCGCCTGGCACTACCCTGCTCTCAGGGCTCAGGTCACACTCGAATTATAAACCAGATGGGAGATTCTGCCCCACATTTAAGGCACATTCTTAGAACAGACTTATCTTCAGAAATATGCTAATAAGGAAGCTTAACACGAGATTTCATGTGAATAAAAATGTCACCGATGGCTCTAAACTCTTCATACCAAGCGAATAACTGAACAATTATATTAAATACCAAAAGATCAAGACAGAATGTCTACAAAAAAGAGCAGCAGACTTGAAACCCGCCTTTGGCAGACTGGGCTGCCCTGATTATCCTCCTGTGAGGAATTACATGAGACTGATAAACATCTCTGCCCAAGAAAATGGGTGAAAGGTACTCAGGATTCTATGTACTATTTTTGCAACTTTCTGTGTGTCTATAATTACTTCAAAAGTAAAAAAAAAATTTTTAAGGTGGTACACTTGGGATTATGAAGGATACCCCATATCCTGCAGAATCGGTAATTCATCCGAATAGAGACTAACCTGCCTGGATGGCACAGAGCATTGATTTCATCACTTCCTGCATCCTCCCATCGTGAATGACAGGATGAGGAGCCTGTGCTGACCGCGGTGCTCACACAGCCTCATTCAAAAAACTAGATAACCCACTACCTTCAAATCCGGCCCCCGGAGGGTGGTGTCAGCTCTCACATAGTCCAAAGCTACCACCGTGCCCATTCCTACACCAATCTTATCTTCTCAGGGAAAGGCCAATGGACCAAGCCTGGGGTTCAGTTGCACGAAAAAGTACAGAAGATATAACACTTTAGGTTTTTCAATCAGAAAAGTTAGCCAGAAGTTTTCCCAAATGGCCCCCTGGCAGTAATTTTATCAAACCCCAATTATTCACTCTAATACAAGTCTTTGCAATTCCTAGCTAATCCCGAGAATTATGTTTGTTTCATGGGTACCAAAAGTCTAGATCTAGATCCATCCAGATCTGCAGAGGCTGCATTTGCTCTAAAACTTCTCCTGGTCATCTAAGGAAATACTGAGTAAGAAACTAAAATCAAAGCAGAGTAAGTAGATACAACTAGAAAATGATTCTGATACTTGCCCATAATTCTAAGTTAACAGGATTTTTAAATGCTCTCCGCCTCAACTAAACATTCTTCCAGTCTGTGCTGTCAGCTCTTTATAACTTTTCTATGAGAAACTTCCCTTACTAAGAAGGCCTCTCTGAACTGCTGATGCATCGATAATTCTCATCCAGTGTTTCCCAGACTGTGTGCCCGACTTTAATGTGCTAAAAGGGGATTCAGCAGACAGGAGCTCTGAAGGCCAGAGTCTTGGGGAATCATTAAAGACTTTGGGAGCAAGGTGTCAGGACGCTGCCGGCTCGGAGGCGCACTGCAGTTCAGAAGCTCAGTTAGGACTCCTCAAACTCCCTCGATTTCTCCACACTTTTCACAACACACTTATATCCTGCAGGAGTGTTTCAACATACACATCACAGCCGGGAGGACGCGGCCCAAAACCACGCGGCCCAAAACTAAGGCTTCTACCCTAGAACCAGAACCATCTCCCTCCCGCCCCCTTCGCCATCAAATCGACGTGATCTTTTCACTCTGTTACCCCCGAGCCTTTCGAAAAGCACCGAAATTCCAAACCAGGAAGAAAGTCTACTGAAGCCCATCTACTTTCTCCTATAATACACTTTTCCCGTTCGGCAATTCACAACAGGAGGATTTCCACTTTTAGGTTCTATGGTTTAGCACCATTCTTTACTACTAATAATTTAGTAAAATCTGTCTCAAGAGGAAAGGGATTTTATGTACATTATGATCTCATGACAGTGGTGCTCAGATGAGGCTCTCGGGCCCCCAGGAGACATCTGGCAGTGTCTAGAGACATTTTGGTTGTCACGACTAGGGGTCATAAGGGCAGGATGACACTGGCATTACAGAATGCACAGGACAGCCCCCTACAACAAAGAAGGATCCACCCAAAAAAGGCAACAGTGCCGAGGCTGACAAACCCTGCCCGTTATCTACATTTGTGCCTCCTCCCAAGCCCTCCCCGATGAAAACACGTGCGGAAATATTAGACTGGGAGTGCTCTCATTAATGGGCTGGGCCAGTTACTGCTCCACACGTTCCAGAATCGATCGCTAACGCACACCTGGCGTGTCAGACCTGGCCATGCCTTCCCAACTGTGTTCTCGGAACTACTTTTGGCATCTCCGATGTCTGCAGTGAAACCGAGAGCCCAGCGACCACAGGGACCACACCCACACCGCTGCCCTCGTCTACAGTGGAAAGCGCACTCCATGGGAACAAAGCAGCGGGGTTTAGACCACGCCTCTTTACCTTCCTCAGATATTGCCTCAGCCAGCTGCCAGGGGTAAACCGCACTGTGAGAGAACTCTCAACTACGGCTGCAGTTTCTCATGGAGGCTGAACTTTTGGCAGGAGGTCTGAACAGGAGTCCTTCTGGTGGTGCAGCCCGTGACTGACGGTTTCTTTCAACTGCCCCGTTACACCCCTGGGAAGGACACAACCCTCATGAGGATTGATGGACATGCTTTTGACAGAACACGGTTTCATATTACACTGCTAGATTCCAGGGGCTGCCTAAAGTGATTACTGGCTGCTACCTTCTCACGATTTTGACCTTGCAAATAAATGTACAGGTCACACAGACTAACAAAATTATAAAGAAGAAATAGCCTCGAAGGGAGTGATTTCCTAGGCACAAAATGTCCATGCATGTACATATGCATACACTTTCTGCATAGAAGATACAGACCAAAAGTTAGCGTGGGAGAAGGAAGCCCAAAGCTCGATTCTGATTTCACACCTAACAGGAGCAGGGAGGGATTATCAACTACAGACAACTGATACACACACTACAATAAGAATGCAATGGAAAGCCAAGTTCCAATGTCTAGAAGTATCCTGCTGCAAACAAAAAGAAAAGGAGAGTAAGATATACCTGCTGTTCTCAATACCAGCCGTGGCTGGAAAATGCAGGCCCGAGCAAATACCCATCTATTACAACTTCTGATTTTAAGCCTTCTTGCCTAGGTTGGGGAGAATCAACTTACCTTGAAATTTGTAACCAATCTTGAAATTCAAAACCAAAACAGGTTCCTAAATTTTCCTCAGATACAGCCTCCTGAAAACTAGCTACTCTTAAGCAACTCAGAAGTACTCAAGGAAGAAATACACATCGCATGTGTCTGTGCTGCTGACTGTTTTCCGCCAACGCAACGAAGCAAAACACACACACTTACCATCCTCCATGTCTTCCTCGGTGGTGTTGTGTCCATCACTCATGGCCACATTCCCGTTGATGACAGGGTTCTGAGTAATTCTGGGTGGGTCATCTGTATCTCCAGCTTTAAAGAAAACAAAGAAATTCCATGGTTTTTACCTTCATGGCTTGGATTAAATAAACAAAAACACAGCTGTACTTTTGATGATTTTCAGTCACTAGTAAGTTCCAACTGTGCCAAAATAAACACATTCTAACCCAAAAGGTGTTTACTAAATAGGAGCTTTTGTTCACTTTCAAAATGCTAAATGGGATACGAAGACACACCATGCAACACAATAATCTGCTCCACTTGCAATATTTATTTTGAAATAGGTTTCCTACTCACTAAAACTCAATCCTAGAGAAAACATTGTCGAGGGTTTACTAAATATATACAAAACAGTGTACATTAGAACTTTCTACCATGGATATACGTCAGTGCCTTAAAATATCAAATTGTCATTCCCAAAGCGTTGCTGGTCAATTACTGTACAATTAAAGTATAAACCCATGCAAAGCCAGGACTGGAGTTTTGGGGGTGCAGAGAATGAGGAAAGGGGGTCCTTGGGAGGACTGGCATGTATAAAGAACCTGGAAAGAGTTGATAAACTAATAAAACGTTTTTTTCATTCTAAATGTTTGCTGAAATCTGGCTTAAAAAACATTTGCATATAATCAGAAACATGGATTCAAAACTTTTAAGCATGACTGGCAAATACAAGGTGTAAACTCCAACTGTCACATTCTCATCACTATTTTCATTCACTAATTTCAAAACAATCCTTTTACACTGACATACGTCCATAATTTAAAAGGAAAAAAACTATGGCAAGACTTAGGATTTTTTTTTTTTTTTAAGATTTTATTTATTTTTTTCCCCAAAGCCCCAGTAGATAGTTGTATGTCATAGTTGCACATCCTTCTAGTTGCTGTATGTGGGATGCGGCCTCAGCGTGGCCGGAGAAGTGGTGCGTCGGTGCGCACCCGGGATCCGAACCCGGGCCGCCAGCAGCGGAGCGCACGCACTTCACCGCTAAGCCACCGGGCCGGCCAAGGCTTAGGATTTATAAATAGCCTTTACTGGCCCAAAGGGCCACACCTCATATTTATATCCTCTCCTTCCACATGTCAGGACAGTGCGGTGCGTTTAATGCTGGCCCCATGTGTTGCCTGTCCAGTCAGCTTTCCCTGGTGCATCAGACACTCCGACAGAAATTAAGAGTCTTGGTTACAAACAGGAGATGTGGTTTTTGAAATCCACTCCATAGGTGTGCCCTTGGCCGCCAGTAGTTCACAGCCTCTCCACCATTCAGGCCAGCAATCAGTCTGATTCAGCACCACGGAGAGCACCCCTCCTCTGCCCACTCTAGACACTCCAAAACCCCAACTATCAGGTTACAGCTCTCAGATAATTTATGAATATAAACCGCACTTTTTTCCATCTTAATCAGCTCAAAACACACCTTATAAATCCTTGGAAGCCAAGAAACAAGTATGACCACCTGAATTTAGATAGACCCCTTCCAATCTTAATATTCTTAAGTTGTTTTATTAAATATCAATATATACAATTAACAATTGTGTTAAAAGTTATTTTTAAAAACAAACATATATACATTTTTTAACTGGTCCTTCTACCACCGCGCCCTCAGAGAAAAACTGGAGGGGAGTAGAGAAAGGAGAAATCCCCTTTGCTGATGCTTAACTAGCTCAAACTCTAAAACATATGCACCTAAAAAGCAAAATGAAAGGGGCTGGCCCAGTGGCGCAAGCAGTTAAGTGCGTGCGCTCCACTGCGGTAGCCCGGGGTTCGCCGGTTCGGATCCCGGGCGCGCACCACGCACTGCTTGGCAAGCCATGCTGTGGCGGCGTCCCATATAAAGTGGAGGAAGATGGGCACGGATGTTAGCCCAGGGCCAGTCTTCCTCAGCAAAAAAAAAAAAAAAGAGGAGGACTGGCAGATGTTAGCACAGGGCTGATCTCCTCACAAAAAATAAAATAAAAAAATAAAAAGCAAAATGAAAAATCAGGTACTTTGACTGAAATGTCTTTCATCCACAATTACCCTCCTAAATTAACTACATCAAACCATCATAAAAATATTTTATGAGGAAAAAATCCTATGAAGGCCTATGAAATAAATGGCACATTCCACCAATGAAATATTATGCAGCAATTTTTTTGCAAAGGTTCTCAATATACCTATATGGAAAATTCTCAAAGTTATATTAAGTTAAAAAAATTAAGATACCAAGCAATAAATACCATCTCATGCAACCTCTATTACAAAAGACATAGAGTATGTTGGAATAAAGATACATAAATTCTTATTCCCCTTTACATGAATAAGCCAACACTGGCAAGCTACATAAACTATGAAGAGAGTCTACAGAAGCGGCAGTAGGGTGATTCTTTGCTGTATACGTGCACACACTCACATCACATGAATGCTCTATAAATCTTACAGTAATCTCCTTGATGTATGCCTGATACATTTAACTTAGCTCCTCGGTTCAAATCTATACTACAATTGCTTTAAAATATGGTTTATAGTGCACAAATGCAAAAATGACAAATAGATAATTCTCTGTACACGAAACAAAGCATTGCTCCTAAAACTAGGATGATATATAAACGTAAGCTGTCTGAACTGTGGCAAGTCATAGAATTCTACAATTGACCCTCAACTCTGAAGATTCTGAGATCAAAGTGAATTCAGATTATGGCTGAAAGGGCTTGTTTTGGTGACTTGAGATGGGAGTACTTTTTCACGAGAAGTTACGGTAATAATAAAAATCAAGATTGATTCAAGAGATCTATGGCTCACCATCTACAACACCGTACTGTGTGGGGTGGGAAAATGAATAAACTGGAGCACAGTTTTTCAGCAGTAGGATTAACTGCAGTGTGGTGACTGAAGAAAGCCTAATATTTCATAAAATGAAGGATTCCGTTCTAGTGTTGAGACAGAAGGTTTTCTGCAGTTGGCCCCTAAAAGGCAAGGCAGGTCAAGTTCTACAGTTGAACCGGCTCTCCTGAGCAATACCCCCCCTTTTACACGCCGAGGTGCACATGCCTGCTGTGCTGGCCAATTCGCTCTTCTCCACCCTTCATGAGCATGGAGATGGTGGTCAAGACCAGCGGCCGTGAGACGCAACAAGTCCCTGGTCGCTTCACCATGTCCGTGAGGAACCTGGCCAGCGACGGTCCATGAAGCTGCCAACCGACCGCCAGGGGACCTCTGTCCAAAAAGCTGGCAACTCAAGCCCAGCTCCCAAGGGACTGAACATCCAGTTTAGAAATCTCCTCATAAGTGAGTTAGTTCAACACGAGGATTAAAAATTTAATTAAGACACGGTACATCTCTGGACCAGAATTAAATGATGAAAGCCCCTGATATCCACAAGTGTGTAGTAGGCTTCCAGAAATATCCTAAATGACAGGACTACCTTCTTCATCGTCAGAGGAAGTGCAAGATTGGCATGTACACATATTTATCGCTATATATAAAGTCATCCCACTCCTGAATTTTATGTCTTGCCTACTTGGAATTTTCCCAGATGTGTTAACTCTCACTTGGCCAAATATGACCTACAATACTAACTTTTTGACACAACCATCTCAAATAATAAGATTGGGGATACGTTTGGTTAACACCAATGACAAGATGGAATGCCTCAAATAAAAAGACAAAAAGTCCCTGATATGCCAAATGTTTGTAGGGGAAAAAAAACAATTATCATTCCAAAATAGACACATGACACCCAGAAACACAACAGAAGATCGTTTCCATTACTCGTGACTGGTAAGCATTTTGACAATGAACCTTGTGATAAGTATCACAGGCATAATTTTAATATATATAAAAAGGCACAAAATACCTTCTTTTAAAGAGTGACTTTAGAAACACACAAAAAGCTCCATTGGCTAGTTACAAAACCTATATTTCCTCCTCTGTCGTTGAGGATGCCCACGCTTATACTCAGCTTTTCTCCCCACTGACTTCCATGTGTGATGTCATAACACAGAACTACTCACCCCAAGAACACTTGCCAGTTGCTATGGAAATGACATAGCCCTAATTAACACCTGCATCTCACTCCTAGATGAGGTAATAGACGAAGAACAGAATTCCAATTTGTTGGCTTTGGCCTTTTCTGTCACTTTGCAAAGATTTCTCAAACCTCTCCCAAAAGGGCCAGGGTGGGGGGACCAAACACCACAGTGAAACCTCAGGGCCTTTCACCCAAGAGTCCATGGACTGCTCACCAGTGGTGCCCGGCCCACAAAGATCCAGTCACACCTCAGACTCACTCTCCATTCAGCCCCAGGTTCCTCCTCCAGTTTTCCAAGCAGTGATATGACCCAGTGAGCAGAGCCAGGGCTCGGTTAAAAGGGCAGCAGGCACGAGTGCCACACAGAGCACACGGCCAAGGGTTAGTCCTTGGATTGGTCAGGCAGAGCCTGAACAGCACCTCGTGATCCCAACTCGACCAGTTCACCCTGAATTCCAAGTCAAAAGCCCCCAGGCTTCTGCTTGGTCCTCCTCCTCTCCTCTCCTCTCCTGGCACTGAACCCATTTTAAAGAATATTACATAAAACAGAGGTTATCAACGCAAATTACAACACTGGTATCTTTCTGGGTATTCATTTCTTAACTGGCAATCCCAAGTATACTTCAGAAGGACAGTTCAGAAATGTCGGTACTGGTCCTGGAAATCCACCAGCAGCTTAAGGACCCCAATCTGAACTCCAGAGTCACCTTCTGGTCCCAGCCTGCGGTTGCCCGCCATGTCTGCAGGGCTCTGCGGCAGAATGTACTGGGGCTGGGGCAGGGGTTCTCCCGCCCACATCGGAGTGACCACATAGAATCTCCAGGAGCTCCACCTCAGCATTCTTTTCTTTAAAAGCTCCCCACAAAATTAGGACCAGAAACATTCAAACGACCTCATCAATTTAGATGATCACCTTCAAAAGACAAAGTGGTCCAGAAACAGAAAGAGGACGTTAATAGGCAAAAACAAAAAAAAAAAAACAAACAAAAAAAAAGGAAGTATGGAGTGTGGTCACTAGCTCCTTAGT